TTATTATATATGTATAAATATGAAATTATAAGCTCGAAATAATACATGAATATTATATTAATGTTTAATGACAAAAGCGGTATAATAAATAATTAAATTTCTGGTCACTATAATGACATATTTCGTGCCATTATTTGTGATAATACTGCTTATCCTAGGTATTCACGGAAGGAAGAGAAATGTCAATGATGCGTTTGATATACCTAATATCTGTAGTGTTAAACGTTGGCGGCCATATGTGTCTGTATTGCGTAGTAGGCGAGATTCTGGTAGCACAAGTAAGTAAACAAGTCAATATAACAGTAAGAAAAAATGCAAAAAAAAAACAGATGATAATGAGTAGACGTGATAAGTATGTGATCACGTGTATTATTTATGAAAAGTGCGAAAAAATATATCACGCAGCGTATGATTACGAATGGTACACATTGGAGCCGAAACAAGCGAAAAGTCTGATCCTGATAATGATACGAACCAACAAACCTCTGCATATTACAGCTGGGAAAATGTTTCCTATGACACTGTCGATGTTTTGCGACGTAAGCTTCTCTTACTTGTTATTATTTTAATCATGTATACAATGCCAACCTCTTTCGGCAAACAATTTATCGCACACACACACGCGCACACTATTGTACTAAAACTAAAATATTGATTACGTATATTTTTATATAATTTTTTAAATATTATATTATTTAAAAAATTTTTCTACTAAGAATCAATACATTATTCTATTTTAATATCGCAAACAATTTTTTTGTAAAAAATATGAAATAGTTTACCAGATAAATTTAAATATATAATCTGCATTTGAAAAAAATGCGAAATGACATCTCTACATAAAAATTATTAATTTGTTTTTTTATTAAACTTTTTGTATATTTAATGTATTACAAAAGATATTAAAAAGATTTATCACTATACTCCAGATTTTTCCTTAATTTAGTATTAATATTACTTCATTAAAAAGATGTATGTGTCATATGTCAAAACGTTGTCAAAATCATAAAAATTTCGCGTAAACTGTTTTACTATTTCTTCTGAGTATCTCAGCAAAATTCTCTTAAAAATTTGGAAATCATTTGTTTAAAGTTTGTATTGATTCTTATGGAAAATCCCGTATGATGTGCAGCATTTATTGATAAATTTGAGGAAAAAACATTGTCAGCGAAATACAAATTTTCACATGTATTGACAAAACTTTAATAAACATTTGTGCAAAACTTAATTTACATTCACTTACTCGTTTAATAGTTATTTACTAAAAGTTGTAGGAAAATATTTATAACCCAAAGTCTTTCTGTAAATTACTCGTTTTTTTTTTCTTTGTTTCTCGCAATTAATTTCAGGGGATCATATTCATGATCAGAAGTTTTTGCCACAAATTGGAAAAAAATATTAATTACAACTATTTATTTGTATATTCTTACAATGTGTCAAGACACACATCATACATTATAAAATAAATATATTATTAAAAAATATATATAATATTATTCTTATCGCAAAAACTCGGCATTTGAAATATTTTCTCCTAAAATTGAAACGTTGTGTAACAATTTTGCAAACTGTTACTCATAATATTAGCAGGAATAACATATATAAATGCAAATTAAACTAGCAATTAACAAATTCATTGCAACATATATTGTCGATGATGCCGATATATTTGTATTTAATGGCAGTGATGAATGTTGTATTGTACTCATATGTGTCATTAGCAATTGAACTTATCGCTCAACTTATTACTCAGCCTATTACTCAACTGTTATTGATCAATAACAAAAGAAGGCGTCTGTTTCTCATGTGAATTCTTTGTTTATATCAATAGCAAATAACAGAACAAGTTCAACGGTAACGCAGCTAATTTTTGAAATTAATAATTCTCACCGTATATCAAGATTCACCGATAACTTTAGCCCTTTATTTGGTTCGTCCAGAAATGTATAATGTTTTCACTTATTTTCATTGTATCAAAAAGATTATAGAACTGCAATATTATTTTCTTTAACTCTTCATCCAACGAAAGTGATATCACTCCTAAAAATAAAGATCATTATCTATGTTAAAACGATATTTGTGTATAATGTTAATCACTTTCATCTTAATACAAGAAAACATTATTTACAAAACTTTAGCTACATATATTCCAACGCAACACAATGTAAAAAACATTTGTCACTGATAATATGTTGTTACAATACATATTATTACAAATGTATCGTTTATACACGCATGAAAAGTCGAAGACACTCCAAGACGCTGCACTGGAAAGTATGGCATATGTAAAACGCGCATGCTTCGTTATAGTTCGAATAGAAGGGGTATAGTAGAGGATATGGAGAGAGAATATCATTAAAATTTTAAAGCTGCCACCCTAACGAAAAACTTTTGTTATTACGACAGCTATATTACATGTGTGAGGTACAATTCAAAACTTTGTAAACTTGAAATACACGAAGAACAGGGACGTACATTGATTTCTATAGATGAAAAAGAATCGAGAGAACTCCCAAGAAATTATATTCAAAATAATATTGCTAATATTGTGAAGAACCTAAAAATCGCAATTACTTTGGAAACTCGAAAAAGTATTATAATTAAAAATTTTCCAAATATATTTTTATACATATAACATTTTATCTCATTAATTAATATAACTAAATTTACATATATTACAATATAATATATTTGTTGTAACAATAAATCAATTGTATTCATTATGTTGATGAATTTAAACCAATAATTAAAAATATTATTTAACTCGAAACACAACATAATTGTAAACAATGTTCATTCACTTGCGGCCCTGTCATGTGTCATACGTTACTATTCGTTCAGTCTCCCTTTTTTCATTTTGCTATGAGAATGCAGCACCTGACAATTACGACGCGTGCAATATTTACGAATTTTTACATCTTGTAGAACGATCTGTAGGTCTTAAACTTTTATGCAGAACAGTTATTACTCCCCAAAGTCTATGGAATACATCTTTCGTACACAAGGATAAAACGTCATTAGTTTCACGTGTGTCTCAGTATGGATATTATCAAGGCTAAAAGATACGCAGGTCTTTGCAATAATAACATCAGTGACAAATCGCGAATAAATAAATCGCGAATAAAAGGCAACCATATGCCTGCGTATATTGAAATTATTGAAATATATATATTTATATATTCATAATTTGATTGTATTTTTAAATATTATAACAGAAATTTTTATTTTATTTATGTAATTGTTTGGTTAAAACAAATATAAAAAAACACTCAAATTTTTACAAGTTATTAAAAAAAAGTTAAATAAAAACTTTCAGATTATATGTAAATAAGATCAGTAAAAACTATTTCCTTAGACATGCAAATATTTCGTTAATATAATAAAATCAATAATAATTACAAGACTGTTAAAAATAGGTACTCACGGAAGGAAAGGAAATGTCAATGATGCGTTTGATATACCTAATATCTATAGTGTTAAACGTTTGCAGCCATATGTGCCTATATTGCGTAGTAGGCGAGATTCTGGTAGTACAAGTAAGTAACCAAGTCAATATGACAATAAGAAAAAATGTATAAAAAAAAGCAAATGATAGTAGTGATGAGCAAACGCGATAAGTGTATGATTACTTATATTATTTATGAATTATTATTGATAAAAAGTGCGAAAGAGTATATCACGCAGCATATGATTACGAATTGAATTAATTGACATCATGTGACGCGGAATAGTTCCAAAATTGGAGCATATCGGCGAGAACGTTCCTCATATCAAAAATATCTCTCACCGATATTGCTGCTATATTTTTAATTACGCTGCAACAAAACGTAAAAAGAATATAATACGAGCAATTTCTAGCAAACGATACCATTGATGTTTATTTTAGAGAAATTTTTTATGAAGATTTTAAAACTAGAATATAATTCGCAATTTCGTTAAAGATCTTACACTGGCGTTAAAAATGATCGCTGACGATTGGATGAAAGCCAAGTGCGAAAAAGAGCAGCGCGTGATGATAAAATACGCACAGAACGCGCGAATCATCCTCATCTTTGGATACGTTCTGATGATCGTAGGATACATTTTCGTCATCTTTTTACCTTGCTTCGGAACATCGCTGAGATATTTAACGAACATCACCGATCCGACCAAAATCCTGCCACTACAAACGTATTAATTTTTTTGTAGGAAACATAAAATAGTTTACCAGATAGATTTAAATATATAATCTGCATTTTAAAAAAATACAAGAAAACATCTCTAAATAAACATTATTAATTTGATTTTTTTATAAACTTTTTGTATATTTATTGTGTTACAAAAGAGACTAAAAAGGTTAATTACTACACTCCAGATATTTCCTTAATTTAGTATTGATATATTTCTTAGTACGTCGTTAAAGATGTATGTGTCATATGTCAAAACATTGTCAAAAGCATTAAAATTTCGCGCATAGACTGTTCTATTATTTCTTCAGAGTATCTGTGTAAAACCTGAACAATCCTCTTAAAAATTTGGAAATTATTTAAGTTTAAGGTTTGTATTGATTCTTATGGAAAATGCGTATTACAGTACTTATTGACAAATTTGAAGAAAAAACATTGTCAGCAAAATACAAATTTTCACATGTATTGACAAAACTTTAATAAACATTTGTGTAAAATTTGATTTACATCCATTTACTTGTTTAACAGTTATTTACAAAAAATTGTAGCAAAATATTTATAATAACTCAAAATCTTTCTGTAAATTGCTCGTTTTTTTTCTTGCAGGGATATTCACAATCAAAAATTTTTGTCATAAATTAAAAGAAATATTAATTACAACTATTTATTTGTATATTCTTATAATGTGTCAAATCATATATCATACATTATAAAATAAATATATTCGGCGAGAACGTTTCTCATATCAAAAATATCTCTCACCGATATTGCTGCTATATTTTTAATTATGCTGCAATAAAACGTAAAAAGAATATAATACGAGCAATTTCTAGCAAACGATATCATTGATGTTTATTTTAGAGAAATTTTTGATGATGATTTTAAAACTAGAATATAATTCGCAATTTCGTTAAAGATCTTACACTGGCGTTAAAAATGATCGCTGACGATTGGATGAAAGCCAAGTGCGAAAAAGAGCAGCGCGTGATGATAAAATACGCACAGAACGCGCGAATCATCCTCATCTTTGGATACGTTCTCATGATCGTAGGATACAATTTCATCATCCTTTTACCGTGCTTCGGAACATCGCTGAGATATGTAACAAATATCACCAATCTGGCCAAGAACCTGCCACTAGAAACGTATTACTTTTATAATAAAGATCAGACTCCGTATTATGAACTCACATTTATTGCGCAAGCTCTGCTATTGATAATAGCAATTGCATCTTATACTGGCGTGGATAATCTGCTCGGCTTACTGGTATTCCACTTGTGTGGCCAGATGGAAAATTTGAAAGAACGATTGATCAATATGAAGCGATATAAAAATATTTGCGTCGATCTCACTTTCATTGTCGAGGATCACATACGGCTAATCAAGTTTCGTGTTGGAATTTAATGTGTTCATCTCCTTACATATATTTTATGCGATTTTATATGTTCCTAGATTCGAGAAATCGCTCTAACTACATTCTTCTTTTAGATATTTTGACATTGTTGAGAGTACATTCACTCTACTGCTACTCGGATTGCTGCTTTATTTCGGCATTCTATTCTGTCTATGCGGATTTTTGATCGTTGCGGTAAGTCGCAAGAAAGAAAATCGTAGCCTGTCTTTCTCAAATAGAATAATGAATTAAGACCCAAAAAAGTGCGAATTTGTATTCTCAAAATTCCGTAAAAGTTGCAAAACGCAGACTCGCAGAAAAAGAACGATTTTTAACAATTTTATTTTAGCCGCATTTTAAATAAAATAATATATTCAACGTTTTTTCATTTTTTTATTTTTAATAATGCCCTAATATTTGTGAAATATTTTTATATTAACTATTTTATTATATATAAATGTGAAATTATGAGCTCGATATAATACATCAATATTATATTAATATTTAATAAAAAAAGCGATGCAATAAGTTAAATTTCTGGTTAAAATAATGCCACATTCCGTGCTATTATTTGTGATAATAAAAAATTAATTGCTTATCTTAGGTACTCAGTGTATAGTGTTAATCACTTTCATCTTAATACAAGAAAGCATCATTTACGAAACTTTAGCTACATATATCTCAACGCAACACAATGTAAAAAACACTTGTCACCGATAATATGTTGCTATAATACGTATTACTACAAAAGTATCGTCTATACTACACGCAAGAAAAGTCGAAGGATCTCCAAGACATTGCATTGAAAGGTATGGCATATGTAAAACGCGCATGCTTCGTTATAGTTCGAATAGAAGGGGTATAGTAGAGGGAATTTTTGTCATAAATTAAAAGAAATATTAATTACAACTATTTATTTGTATATTCTTATAATGTGTCAAATCATATATCATACATTATAAAATAAATATATTAAATTTCAGTTAATAAAAACTTCAGGCGGCTATGTATCAGTTCTACTTGCCAGCCAAGGTTCATAAAACTAATTTCAAAGTTTGCGAGACGAAAGTATCATATTATAATATATTTAACGCGTTATAGTTCGAATAGAAGGGGTATAGTAGAGGGTATGGAGAGAGAATATCATTAAAATTTTAAAGCTGTCACCCTAACAAAAAACTTTTTATTACGACAGCTGTATTATGTGTAAGGTACAATTCAAAACTTTGTAAACTTGAAATACACGAAGAACAGGGACGTACATTGATTTCTATAGATGAAAAAGAATCGAGAGAACTCCCAAGAAATTATATTCAAAATAATATTGCTAATATTGTGAAGAACCTAAAAATCGCAATTACTTTGGAAACTCAAACAAGTATTATGTAGTTAAGAGATCTCGAAATATTTGTCTATAACAAATCGCGAATAAATAAATCGCGAATAAAAGGCAACTATATGCCTGCGTATATTGGAATTATTGAAATATATATATTTATATATTTACAATGTATTTGTATCTTTAAATATAATAATAGAAATTTTTATTTTATCTATGTAATTGTTTGGTTAAAACAAATATAAAAGAAACACTCAAATTTTTACAAGTTATTAAAAAAATGTTAGATAGAAACTTTCAGATTATATGTGTATATGAGATCAGTAAAAATTATTTTCTTAGACATGCAAACATTTCGTTAATATAATAAAATCAATAATAATTACAAGACTGTTAAAAATAATTATTATTTTACTCAATAAACTTCACAAAACAATTAAAAACAATTAACACATATGTATAAAATATACTTTTTTGATATTATATATTTGCCTTATTTACAAATTTATTGTGATTCACGAGTATAATAAAATATTAAATGAACTCTTATCTATATAGATTTCGAATGGGCAATTAAGCTGAATCGCTTTACACTAAACATCGCCGGCATATGGCCAAATTACAATATAATATATTTGTTCTAACAATAAATCAATTGTATTCATTATGTTGATGAATTTAAACCAATAATTAAAAATATTATTTAACTCGGAACACAACATAATTGTAAACAATGTTCACTTACTTGCGGCCCTGTCATGTATCATACGTTACTATTCGTTCAGTCCAGATTTAATTAACGCAATCAATATCCGAAAACAATTCTTATGCGCAGTATCAATTAGCTCGATACGTGAATTAATTGACATCATGTGACGCGGAATAGTTCCAAAATTGGAGCATATCGGCGAGAACGTTTCTCATATCAAAAATATCTCTCACCGATATTGCTGCTATATTTTTAATTACGCTGCAACAAAACGTAAAAAGAATATAATACGAGCAATTTCTAGCAAACGATATCATTGATGTTTATTTTAGAGAAATTTTTGATGATGATTTTAAAACTAGAATATAATTCGCAATTTCGTTAAAGATCTTACACTGGCGTTAAAAATGATCGCTGACGATTGGATGAAAGCCAAGTGCGAAAAAGAGCAGCGCGTGATGATAAAATACGCACAGAACGCGCGAATCATCCTCATCTTTGGATACGTTCTCATGATCGTAGGATACAATTTCATCATCCTTTTACCGTGCTTCGGAACATCGCTGAGATATGTAACAAATATCACCAATCTGGCCAAGAACCTGCCACTAGAAACGTATTACTTTTATAATAAAGATCAGACTCCGTATTATGAACTCACATTTATTGCGCAAGCTCTGCTATTGATAATAGCAATTGCATCTTATACTGGCGTGGATAATCTGCTCGGCTTACTGGTATTCCACTTGTGTGGCCAGATGGAAAATTTGAAAGAACGATTGATCAATATGAAGCGATATAAAAATATTTGCGTCGATCTCACTTTCATTGTCGAGGATCACATACGGCTAATCAAGTTTCGTGTTGGAATTTAATGTGTTCATCTCCTTACATATATTTTATGCGATTTTATATGTTCCTAGATTCGAGAAATCGCTCTAACTACATTCTTCTTTTAGATATTTTGACATTGTTGAGAGTACATTCACTCTACTGCTACTCGGATTGCTGCTTTATTTCGGCATTCTATTCTGTCTATGCGGATTTTTGATCGTTGCGGTAAGTCGCAAGAAAGAAAATCGTAGCCTGTCTTTCTCAAATAGAATAATGAATTAAGACCCAAAAAAGTGCGAATTTGTATTCTCAAAATTCCGTAAAAGTTGCAAAACGCAGACTCGCAGAAAAAGAACGATTTTTAACAATTTTATTTTAGTCGCATTAAAAATAAAATAATATATTCAACGTTTTTTCATTTTTTTATTTTTACTAATATACCCTTATGTTTGTGAAATATTTTTATATTAACTATTTTATTATACATAAATATAAAATTATGAGCTCGAAATAATACATGAATATTATATTAACATTTAATGAAAAAGCGGTGCAATAAATAATTAAATTTCTGGTCAAAACACTGCCACATTTCGTGCCATTACTTGTGATAATATTGCTTACCCTAGATACTCACGGAAGGAAAGAAAATGTCAATGATACGTTTGATATTCCTAATATCTATAATGTTAAACATTTGCGGCCATATGTGTCTGTATTGCGTAGTAGGCGAAATTCTGATAGCACAAGTAAGTAACCAAGTTACTATGACAAAAAAAAATGTATAAAATAACAAATGATAATGAGTATACGCGATAAGTGTGTAATCTCACTTGTATTATTTATGAATTATTATTTATAAAAAGTGCGAAGGTGTATATCATGCAGCATATAATTACGAATGGTACACGTTGGAGCCGAAACAGGCGAAAGATCTGATCCTAATAATGATACGGGCCAACAAGCCCCTGTATATTACAGCTGGGAAAATGTTTCCTATGACACTGTCGATGTTTTGCGACGTAAGTGTCTATTACCTATCATTATTTTAATTATGTATACAATGATGATTGTCAATCTCTTTCGGCAAACAATTTATCGCACACCATTGTATTAAAATATAGATTACGTATATTTTTATATAATTTTTCTAATATTATATCATTTAAGAAATTTTTCTCCCATTTAAAGATTCAATACGTTATTCTATTCTAACATTGCAAACAATTTTTTGTAGAAAACATAAAATAGTTTAACGATAGATAGATATAAATATATAATCTCCATTTGAAAAAATGTGAGAAAACATCTCTAAATAAAAATTATTAATATAATTTTTTATTCAACTTTTTGTATATTTATTGTATTACAAAAATTATCACTACACTCCACTACATAGATATTTCCTTAATTTGGTAATGATATTTCTTACTACGTCGTGTGTCAAAGAATGTGTGTGTCGTATGTCAGAACGTTATCAAAATTTCGCGTAAACTATTCTACTATTTCTTCTGAATATCTGTGTAAAACCTGAACACAATTCTCTTAAAAGTTTGGAAATTGTTTGTTTAAAGTTTGTATTGATTCTTATAGAAAATCGCGTATTGCAGCATTTATTGAGAAACTCGAAGAAAAAATATTGTCAGCGAAATACAAATTTTCATATGTATTGCCAAAACTTTAATAAACATTTGCGCAAAATGATTTACATCCACTTACTCGTTTAATAGTTATTTACTAAAAATTGTAGCAAAATATTTATAATAACCCAAAATCTCTCTCTTTCTGTAAATTACTCGTTTCTTTTGTTTCTTGCAATTCATTTCAAGGAATCACGATCAAAAGTTTTTGCCATAAATTTAAAAAAAATATTAATTGCAACTATTTATTTGTATATTCTTACAATGTGTCGAGACACACATCATACGTTATAAAATAAATATATTATTTTGTAAATTTCAGTTAGTAAAAACTTCAGGCGGCTATGTATCAGTTCTACTCGCCAGCCAAAGTTCATAAAACTAATTTCAAAGTTTGCAGAGAAAGAAGCATCGTATTATAATATATTCAACGAAATACAAAAAAATGTACGAAATATATAAAAATACGTATATCACATATAAAATTATAACACAAAATCAAAATACATATATAAATATTATACTTATCGCAAAAACTCGTCATTTAAAATATTTTCTCCTAAAATTAAAACGTTGTGTAACGATTTTGCAAACCGCTATATCATAATATTAGAAGATATATCATATATAAATGCAAATTAAACTAGTAATTAACAAATTCATTGCAACATATGTTGTCGGTGATGCGCGATATATTTGTATTTAATGGCAGTAATAAACGTTTGTATTATGCTTATATGTATCACTGCCGATCGAACTTATCGCTCAACTTATTACTCAGCTTATTGCTCTAACCACTATTGATCAATAACTAAAGAAGGTGTCTGTTTTTCACGTGAATTTTTTGTTTTTATCAATAACAAATAACAGAACAAGTTCAACGATAACTCTGATAATTTCCGCAATTAAAAATTCTTACCGTGTATCAAGATTCACCGATAACTTTAGCCCTTTATTTGATTCGCCCGAAATGTGCAATGTTTTCTCGTTTATCTTCATTATATCAAAAAAATTATACAACTGCAATATTATTCTCTTTAACACTCTTCATCCCACCAGCGTAGCAGCACTCCCAAAAATAAAGATTATTATTTTGTTATAACGATATTTGTGTATAATGTTAATCACTTTCATCTTAATACAAGAAAGCGTTATTTATGAAACTTTAGTACTTTAGCTATACATATCCCAACGCAACACAATGTAAGAGACACTTGTCACCGATAATATGTTGTTATAATACGTATGACTACAAATGTATCGTCTATACTACACGCATGAAAAGTCGGAGGATCTCCAAGACACTGCACTGGAAGGTATGGTATATGTAAAACGCGCATGCTTCGTTATAGTTCGAATAGAAGGGGTATGATAGAGGGTATGGAGAGAGAGTATCATTAAAATTTTAAAGCTGCCACCCTAACGAAAAACTTGTGTTATTACGACAACTATATTACATGTGTGAGGTACAATTCAAAACTTTGCAAACTTGAAATACGCAAAGAACAGGGACGTACATTGATTTCTACAAATAAAAAAGAATCGAGAGAATTCTCAAATAAATATATTATAATATAATATATTTGTGGTAACAATAAATCAATTGTATTCATTATGTTGATGAATTTAAACCAATAATTAAAAATATTATTTAACTCGAAACTTGCGGCCCTGTCACGTGTATACATTGCTATTCGTTCAGCCTCCCTTTTTTCACTTTGCTATGAGAATGCAGCATCTGACAATTATGGCGTGCAACATTTACGAATTTTTTACATCTTGTGGAACGATCCATAAGTTTACAAACTTTTATGCAGAACAGTTATTACTCTCCAAAGTCTATGGAATACATCCTTCGTACGAAAAGATAAAACATCATCGGTTTCACGTGTGTCTCAGTATGAATACTATCAAGGCTAAAAGATATGCAGGTCCTTGCAATAATAACATCAGTGATAAGTCGCGAACTATAATATATGCCTGCGTGTATTGAAATTATTAAAATATATATACATTTACATATTCATAATTTATTTGTATTTTTAAATATTAAAACAAAAATTTTGACATTTTCTTTGTAATTGTTTGGTTAAAACAAATATAGAAAGAACATTCAAATTTTCACGACAAGTTATTAAAAAATCATGTATCATACGTTACTATTCGTTCAGTCCCCCTTTTTTCATTTTGCTATGAGAATGCAGCACCTGACAATTACGACGCGTGCGATATTTACGAATTTTTTACATCTTGTAGAATGATCTATAGATCTTAAACTTTTATGCAGAACAGTTACTACTCCCCCAGGGTATGGAATACATATTTCGTACAGAAGGATAAAACGTCATTAGTTTCACGTGTGTCTCAGTATGGATATTATCAAGGCTAAAAGATACGCATAAAACGCGCATGCTTCGTTATAGTTCGAATAGAAGGGGTATGATAGAGGGTATGGAGAGAGAGTATCATTAAAATTTTAAAGCTGCCACCCTAACGAAAAACTTGTGTTATTACGACAACTATATTACATGTGTGAGGTACAATTCAAAACTTTGCAAACTTGAAATACGCAAAGAACAGGGACGTACATTGATTTCTACAAATAAAAAAGAATCGAGAGAATTCTCAAATAATTATATTCAAAATAATATTGCTAATATTGTGAAGAACCTAAAAATCGCAATTACTTTGGAAACTCGGAAAAGTATTATAATTAAAAATTCTCCAAATATATTTTTATACATAAAACATCTTATTTCATTAATTAATATAATTAAATGAATACTATCAAGGCTAAAAGATATGCAGGTCCTTGCAATAATAACATCAGTGATAAGTCGCGAACTATAATATATGCCTGCGTGTATTGAAATTATTGAAATATATATATATTTACATATTCATAATTTATTTGTATTTTTAAATATTAAAACAAAAATTTTGACATTTTCTTTGTAATTGTTTGGTTAAAACAAATATAGAAAGAACATTCAAATTTTCACGACAAGTTATTAAAAAAAAAGTTAAATAATAACTTTCAGATTATATGTGTATATGAGATCAGTAAAAATTATTTCCTTAGACATGCGAATATTTTGTTAATAGAATAAAATCAATAATAAATACAAAATTGTTAAACATGAATATTATTTTACTCAATAAATTACACACGAGAAACAATTAAAAACAATTAACACATATGTATAAAATATACTTTTCTGATATTATATATTTGCCTTACATACAAATTTATTGTGAATCACGAGTAGAATAAAATATTAAATAAACTTATCTATATAGATCTCGAATGGGCAATTAAGCTGAATCGCTTTACACTGAACATCGCCGGCTTATGGCCAAGAAATTACGAAAATGTTTATGACAGATTTTTATCGGATTTCCGCACGACATTCTCCTTCCTCCTGATCGTTTTCTTCGGTTTGATTCCTTCGATACACTCGCTGATGAGAACCTGGGATGATATGATTGCGATAATAGACAATCTGCAATTCACTTTGCCGATATTGATAACGATAATAAAGCTGGTGATCATACGGTGGAAAAAAACTGGTAATGATTTTAAAAAAATTAATTAATGCAATCGATTTCCGAAAACAGTTCTTATATGCGACATCGATTAGCTCGATAAGTGAATTCGATTGACGTGATAGTTTCAAAAATAGAGAGTATATCAACGTTGCGCATATGATTAAATATTTCTCGCCGCTATATTATTAATTAAACTGTATAAATAACAGAATGTAAGAAAAAAATAAAATACGAGTAATTTATAGCAAATGATATCGTTGATGTTCATCTTAAAGAGATTTGTGATGAAGTTTTCAAAACTAAGATACAATTTGTAATTTCTTTAAAGATCTTACATTTGCATTGAACATGATCGCCGACGATTGGCTGAAGACCAAGAGCGAGAAAGAGGAGCGTACAATGATAAAATACGCAAAAAGTGCGCGAACCATCCTCATCTTCGGATACTCCATTATGATCGTAACATATTCTTTAACCGTGTTTCTACCTTGTTTCGGAACGTCGCTAAGATATATGACGAACATCACCGATCCGGAAAAGATCCTGCCGCTACAAACGTATTACTTCTATGATAAAGATCGGACTCCGTATTATGAACTCACATTCACTGTGCAAGCTCTGCTATTGATAATAACAGCTGTATCTTATACCGGCATCGATAATCTATTAGGGTTACTCATATTCCACTTGTGCGGCCAAATGGAAAATTTAAAAGAACGATTGATCAACATGAGGCAATACAAAACTTTTTGTGATGGTCTCAGTTTCATCGTCGAGGATCATATACGGCTAATCAAGTTTCGTGTTCAATTTTGGTAGCAATGGAAGTTATGGAATTTAATGTGTTCATCTCTTTACATATTTTTCATACGATTTCAGATATACGCTAGATTGAAAAAATTGCTTTAATTATATTCTTCTTTCAGATATTACGACATTGTTGAAGGTATATTTACTTTATTGCTACTCGGGTTGCTACTTTATTTCGGCATTCTATTCTGTCTATACGGATTTTTGATAGTCGCGGTAAGTGGCAAGAAAGAGAAGCGTAGCCTGTTTCTTTCAGATACAATAATGAATTAGTACACAAAAAAGTGCGGACTCAGAAAAAGCAATTTTTAATAATTTTATTTTAGTCGCATTAAAAAAAAATAATATATTTAACAATTTATTAGTTTTATATTTTTGGTAAAACTCCATAAAAGATAACACATTTTCGATTTTATCGCTACTTAAATATGTTGTAGGAGAGGTTCTTCTGAGTAATTCTCCGCAGAAAATAAGTAGTTTAGAAGATATAACAAATTGAAGTTTGACATTAAAGTATGTGTATGCTGTATAAACTTTACTTTTCCTAATATTACTTTATAGTACCTAAGAAAAAGCATTAAAACTGTAAAACTTTATTTTGTTATATCTCCTAAACCAATGCCGTTTCCCACTTATTTCTTGTGCGAAATTACTCATTGTCAGCAGGATCTCGCCTACAACATATTTAAGCGGCAATAAAATCGAAGGTATGTTATCTTTTATGCAGTTTAACCATATAATTTAATGACACCCTATACTGGAATATTTTTATATAGACTATTTTGTGTTATATACAATATAAATCAAAAATTATAACCGCGAAATAATACGTCAATAATCTCTTAATATTTAATGAAAAAAGCGATGCAATAAATAATTAAATCTCTGGTCAAAATATTGTCATACTTTGTGCCATTAATTGTGATAATATTGCTTCTTCTAGATACTCACGAAAGGAATGGAAATGTCAATGATGCGTTTCATATACCTAATATGTGCAGTGTTAAACGTTTGTGGCCATATGTGCCTGCATTGTGTAGTAGGTGAGATTCTTGTAGCACAAGTAAGTAAAACCAAGTCAATATGACAGTAAGAAAAAATGCAACAAAAAAAACATATGATAATGAGTAGACGCGATAAGTATGTGATCGCAATTATCTATAAATTATTATTTATAAAAAGTGCGAAAAAGTATATTACGCAGCGTATGATTACAAATGGTACACGTTAGAGCCGGAAAAGGCGAGAAATCTGATTCCGATAATGATACGAGCCAACAAGCCCCTGCATATGACAGCTGGGAAAATGTTTCCTATGACACTATCAATGTTTTGCAACGTAAGCGCGTCTCTTACCTATTATTATTTTGATCATGTGTATAATGACGACAGTCAATCTCTCTCAGCAAGCAACTTATCGTGTACACACACGCACACACGATTGTACTAAAATATATAAATTACATATATTTTAGAATTTTTTAATATTATATTGTTTATGATCTACAAATCAGTACGTTATTCTATTACAACATAACACGCAATTTTTTAATACAAAACAAAATAGTTTTCCAGATAAATATATGTATATAATTTGCATTTGGAAAAAATAACAACACTATTGTAACTGTATAAGCATCTCATTGTAATATTGTTCAAAGAACTATGTAAATAAAATTTCATAAAAAGTATTATTTTATACACATAATAAGATATTAGTAGATAGTATAACAAAAACATATTTTTTTATATCAAGTTAGGTAATTTAATTAATTTAAAAAATATTGATATATTATTCAAGAAAACGCGTTATATTTTTCCTAAAAATTAGAAAATATATATGACAAAAAATATTTTAAATAAAATATATTAATAGACATTTTAATGTATATATATATATTTTTTTACGTGTCCAAACACACACATTATACGTTATAAAATAAATATATTATTTTATAAATTTCAGTTAATGAAAACTTCGGGCGGCTATGTATCGATTCTACTTGCCAGGCAAGGTTAATAAAACTAATTTCAGAGAAGAGAGACATTATAATAAAAGAGGTACATTATATATTTGGATACAATAAAAAAACTATCAATATATTTACTCATTGGTCAATAGCGATCGAGCAATCGATAAGTTCGAACGCCAGAGATACATATAAGCATAATACAATGTTCATCACTGCCATTAAACACAAATTTTAATTTTAGGAGAAAATATTTTGAATATCGAGTTTTTCCGATAAGGATAATATTATATATATACATGTATTTAATACATTACTTAATAGAAAAAAGTACACAGTAATCCATAAACAATTTTATATATATAAAATTGTTTACGTCAGTTATGAAATTTCGATATACATATCGCTATAATCTACTGAAAAATAATAAAAATTGCAAAATAGATAGTCAACATTACTTCTTCAGTTAGTAGCATAGTAGCAATATTGCGTACTATGTTCAGCAGTATTGTTCCAACTTCCCTTTAGCAATCACATTATCAAGAATGGAATACCACTAAATAATATACATATGATGAATTATCCTATTAAGTAAAATGTGCATTATGTAGCATATACATCATCAATAGCACATAATAACACATTTTTATCTATCATCGATGCAATCAATACAATGGAATATGCTGCTATGTCCTATGCCCAAAATAGGAAAAGACAACTACTATCACAATAATATCATAATGTTAGATATGACAGAGAACGATAGGAAATAGAGCGATATGATTGAAGAGTATTTGACTACGATTTGAACGGAATTTGTTGTATAAGGCACAATACAAGGCATATATAAGGTACATTTGAGACGCGGCCGACTGCTATGAACCCTTCCCTGAGAAGTATCAGACTATCTAAAATACAAATCTACTTTCCATAATTATATAAGAATCGTATTAAATACATGCGCTATCAAGAAATGTTGAAGATATACGTAGATCCTTAATTAATTCTCAAATAAATTTTGCAAAGTTTTCTTGGTATGTATATTCGAGCTATTTTAGTATGCGTGCCCGCAAGACTCTTTTTTAATATAATTTTTGCAATTATTAATTTAATTAATCTCGCTAAAAAAAAGTAGTACAAAATAATAGCCGTCAACCGGCCGATATCCTTAACCACAACACGTAATACAATCTTAGAACATAAAAATACTTGAGAAAGTATGTTTTCGTCTGTTACAATGTCATAAGGATATCTCATACTTTTACTGCTTATCACAATATAATATAATATTGATATCTACAAGTGATAAGATTAAAAATATCTAGAAATTTTAGATAGATATAATTATTTTTATTTTTTATGCAATTTTGTCATGTATTTTTCAGATATATTCTAAACCTATAAGAAAGTAGGAATCTGCCTCTCAAAAATTCTGATTTTGCTTCTTTTAAATGAACAAAATATAAAAAACTTAAATATATAAACAAATTATTGATTAAGTATTATTAATAATAAAAACATACAATACAAGCGTACACATATATATGCACATAAAAAACAGAGGTACTGAAAAAGAATGTCTTTCAAAAAAACATTCTCGGAAATGTTTATTATGTATAATCAATTAATTACATTTTACTACTTTATATAATTATTCTGATCTACTATTGTTTGATTATATTGATCAAGGTCTAGCATTGCTTGTGTAATAAAATCGGTAAAGTGACTAATTCTAGTAAAAACATCAGGGAAACCAATTGCGCATGGTTTCGTCCATGAGAATATGCCTATTAATGTGTTATTGTATACTAATGGACTACCACTGTCACCCTGTAAACAATACAAATAACATTTTCTTTCAATGAAAAAAAATTTATATCGCGATTTAATAACAAAGAACAAATTTTTACTTAAAAATTAATTCATAAAAAATTGCATAGCATCAAACTTTTATCAAAATAGACTTACGCAAAAAAAATATGTAAGAACACTATTTTTTTTTTAATGAATTTAATTTAAAAAATTACAATATCTATTAAATTTTTCAGATGTCATTTTATTGAGACTTGTAAATGATTCATGAACAGTAGAAGCGACATAGATATTTTTATTATATTTTAATCTTTCAATGCAACAAAATTTAAAATAAAGAATTTTAAAATTTAAAATTACTCGCGCGTTTAAAAATAATACTATTAATAAATGATTCCAAGTAAAATAATTTATGAATGATGTAAAAACGATCGAGTTTCCGGTGCCTACAAAAAGAACGACTTTCGCGCAAAGTCCAATAGTTCCAAAAAATTAATTAATTTCTTCGCACATTTACCTTACAAGCGCCGATTCCTTTCCTTTCCAATGTGCAAATTTGCGAGTTAAGGATAGTTATATTTTTGTAATACTCCTGACACGCTTCATTATCGATAATTGACACCGAAAGTTTTCGCAAGTTTTGCGACAACCAACTGTATCGCCGTGTTCTGCCCCATCCGCTAATAACGGCGCGTTCTCCAATAGTTGTGTCATAAGTTGCCAAAGAAATTGGTTCAACATGAGAAAACATCAAGTGAACTTTTTTAGCAAGCTAGAAGCATCAATATATCTATAGCATCGCAAATGTGTACAAAAAACGCCAAGTTAAATCTAAATTAATCGATCATAAAAAAGGGGGGAATTACTATATAAAAAACAAGTACTTTTACTAAGGCGTCCGTGTCATATTATACAATATAAAAATAAAACGCTATTTATTTCTGATAAAAATTCTCGAATCTCTCTACCAACCCTATTACATATTTGTTAATGATAATTTTAATTTGTAGTGTGTGTCTCAATAATATATTAAATAACTACTTATTGCTCAATTTTTTAAACGCGCCTACTCTTATTGGATATTCTACATTTTATTATTCGCGTTCTCAATAAAATAATACGTCAGCAAATACGTATATAAAATTTCCAACATAACTCAATCGCGAAATTTTGAAATATATTGCTGTGATTCATTGAAAATAATAAAAATTGCACATAATTAGAAAAGAAATTTACAAAAAAATGCATATTAGAAAATGTATATTGGCGTTAAGATGATAGCATCGAGATTTATTAATAATAAATTATTATTAATAACAAATTTTATTAGGATTATTATAAATAATTAAAATTAAAAAAATAGTCATAGAATTTTATAAAATAAATGATCAACAATTCCCAATTTTCTAAGTGGATAATTCAATCCATGAAATAAAATCCATGCATATATTGTAACAAAATTGTCACGTAATATTGTTACATCGTAAATCAAATTAACACAAAATAAAGAGTAGTTTTATGTTGCAAATTAAATTAACACAAAATGAAAAACAATATACTTTTCGAAAAGTGTACATTATCAATGCAATTTATATTAGCGATATTCTTAAGCAAGGATTTCTAACAAGATAGTGCCTAATAATGTATAAAATATCAAGAAAATCTTAAATCATACATTTTTAGAAATGTAATTTATAATATAATTAAAAATCAATAACAAAATCAACACTAAAAATGTATGGTTTTTATCTACGATTCCGATTTATACAAAAAAATAATCTCACCATAATCACGACTATATCGGCTACCCAAGAGTTGTCAAGACCATATACGTAATCAGGATGGCATTTGACACTCTTGACGGTATGCGTTTCACCCTTTTTTAAATCAACGCTTCCGGTGCGTACGCTGAGTTCCTCGGAGGGCTCGTCTATCAAATCGCACACGCAATGCGCCGCGCTCAGGATGTATCTGTCATTAATAAGCATACCGCTGCAGATATGCACGTTGTAATACCATAAGGATACCTGATAAGGAAACTCGGATTCAGCGGCGACTATTCCGCCGATTAGACGTCGTACGCGAAGTGCACCTGTTCCTAAATGATACGCATGTTTGTGTGTCACGTATTTTATTAGAGAAATTAAAGATTATTTATTTTTGTGTTTCCACAATGTTTTGTATTATGTAAGATATTATTGTAAGAATATTCGTATTAAAAAAAATACGCGCGCATTTTTTTCTCCGCAAATTGATATTAAATTCATGTCCTCACTTACCATAGCTGATAACGTCCAATATTAAAATAATTAATAAACACAGACCGGTAGGGTTCACCATCATTTTTTTAGACGCTGCGAAAGAACAAAAAATGTTGTGCTAAGAGTAATTTTTACATAATATTTATACGATTCCCGGCCTTTTGAATCGCATTTTTTTCAATGAAGCTAGTTTCATATGCGATAATGCAATCATATAATATATTATAATTATATGCACGTACTGTGCTGATGCCAATATAATACTTCTATTTCAGATATGTTAATACATGTAATGTATTCAATATTTTAATAATTTTTCTATTATCATCAATTTTTATTTACGCCAAAAATAAATTTATATCGCATCGGATGCATAATTCGCGTATTTAATTTTTTTTTCTTCATTGTCGAAATTACGAATGTAATCCTGCGTATTACAAATAGGAATTCATCCCATTATGAATCATTACCGTGAGTCTCGCGTGTTTCGGTTTCATTGCAAAGTTGTAATATGCTTACTCATGTCAGCAATCTAATGCATCAAACGGCGGTCTACAATTACATTAATGCGTTTACTTAATGAGTTCGAATAGAAGGAAAATTCATAGAAACACATATCAACTGATTCAAACACATAATAAAATAATTTTAATAAGTGCAAAGAATTCCGGAATCATTAAAAAAATCCACGAAAACTTTATCTTACATATAATGTTATAAATAAACATTTTTCTAAAAATACGATTTAGATTGCAAGCTTATAAGAATTTGTCATCCGAGTTAAAGTTTACTATAAAGATCCGAAGAGGCCCGAAATATTTGCTTATATCCGAAAAAAAGAATATTCTGTCTAAGATTAAATTGTATTACATTTCATTATATTTTTCTGTCGTAATTCGTAGTTGCGTCATATGACGAAATAATGGAAAGAGATTTTATTTTTTATACATATAAGACAAATGTTTATATCTGATATAGAGATGGTAAAGATTCTCTTACATTAAATGATGAATTATAACAAAAAAAGATCAATGAGAATTTAATTATCAGGGTGTAATATTAATTACTACTTTCTAATATTTTGTATTTCTTATAACAAGAATTTCTTATATTCTGCATAAGAGATTAATTGTCTATATCTAATGTATGTATAATCGATTGCAAAAATAAAATGAAAATTTAATGAAATGTGATAGAAGTACCATTTTTCCCATTCATTAAATGCATTCATTCATGGATTCAATATTCAATACAATAGTCAGAATATATATACAGTACATTTATGATTTTAAAGAGAGCAGAGAAAACAAAATTCAAACAAATCTCTGATCTCTTTAACAGTTGACAATGAGATAAATTTCGGGAAACTCTCTTTCGTTCATTCGTTTCTCGACTCGAGAAATCTCTGCATCAAAAGTTTTGATCTATTCACACAGTGACACTTCTCTCACTTTCCAACATTTTTAAAATTACTATCGTAACTTGGTACGTGTTTCTATCACTCTTACCTGAGAGGAATGTCAATTTTCAGCGACGCCTATGCACCTCGTCCAATCCGTCCTCGTTCATGTAAGTCAACACGATGACGAATCGTCAAAGATCCTACTTCGCACTTCGCGCGCGAGAAACATAGAGAGAGAGCATCCGATCGGTGTTTTTGTTACACGCGTATATAAATGTAACGCGTGTTGTGTGTGCGCGTACAGCGCCCTTATCGGCGCTCCTGTATGCGTGCGCGCCGCGCGTGACGTATGTCGTACGTACATACGTCATGTACACGTGCACACACACATGACGCATGACGCCATGATACGTGCGCGCCCGACACGTATACACATACATGCGCACGCACGCACGCGCGCGAGCGCGCGCGTTTGTGCAACACATTATCCGCCGTATCTATACGCCAACGCGTAGTGCATCTTCGTCGTCGATTTTCGTGGCTTGGCGGGTTCGCGATCCGAGTCGCGATCTCGTATTCCCGATATCCAGGAGGGAACGACTCGCTGGCACGCGGGATCGAGAAATTATATTGTCCACAGTGGGGCGACGCGCGTGAACAGGTTGAAAGGGGAACGTCAGCACGCACAGGCCGCAACCTATATTTTTGTACCTCCATGAAAGGGCCATGTAACCTATGTCGTGAGTATCGACGAACGGATCGGCTTGTCCGATCTCCCGGCGCGGCAACAGGTTCGCGACCGTACGGGATACTTGGCCCCGGACCGGTCCCGGCACATCCCGGACCGTCCGTCGCCGAGAACCCGGTCACGTCGTGTTTCGAACCTGTTACCGCGTTTGAGGTTATGTGAGAGGATACGGATTTTTTTTTTTATGTAAAATTTCTGGCTGCACCCATCGTGTACAACGCTTTTCCCTTGTCTCTTTTTGCCCGGGGATTTGTTTTTTTCTTTTTGAAATAACGTCTTGATCTTTCGCATACATCGTGGTAATGTACGTGAGCGAATAAATTGATTTCACTTTCAGAGTGAAGTGTAACAAATGGAAGGTTTTAAGGTGAAAGATGAACCGATGGATGCATTAGCCATAGACAGTCAGGTTATGGTAAACCATTTGTATGAAACGGCAGCAGGTATATGACATACCGCTGGCGTTGTCCAGAGAGTCTAACGTAATGATTACTTTAAGGATGAGAACATTGTGAGCGTCCACGTACTGTGCTGATGCCAATATAATACTTCTATTTCAGATATGTTAATACATGTAATGTATTCAATATTTTAATAATTTTTCTATTATCATCAATTTTTATTTACGCCAAAAATAAATTTATATCGCATCGGATGCATAATTCGCGTATTTAATTTTTTTTTCTTCATTGTCGAAATTACGAATGTAATCCTGCGTATTACAAATAGGAATTCATCCCATTATGAATCATTACCGTGAGTCTCGCGTGTTTCGGTTTCATTGCAAAGTTGTAATATGCTTACTCATGTCAGCAATCTAATGCATCAAACGGCGGTCTACAATTACATTAATGCGTTTACTTAATGAGTTCGAATAGAAGGAAAATTCATAGAAACACATATCAACTGATTCAAACACATAATAAAATAATTTTAATAAGTGCAAAGAATTCCGGAATCATTAAAAAAATCCACGAAAACTTTATCTTACATATAATGTTATAAATAAACATTTTTCTAAAAATACGATTTAGATTGCAAGCTTATAAGAATTTGTCATCCGAGTTAAAGTTTACTATAAAGATCCGAAGAGGCCCGAAATATTTGCTTATATCCGAAAAAAAGAATATTCTGTCTAAGATTAAATTGTATTACATTTCATTATATTTTTCTGTCGTAATTCGTAGTTGCGTCATATGACGAAATAATGGAAAGAGATTTTATTTTTTATACATATAAGACAAATGTTTATATCTGATATAGAGATGGTAAAGATTCTCTTACATTAAATGATGAATTATAACAAAAAAAGATCAATGAGAATTTAATTATCAGGGTGTAATATTAATTACTACTTTCTAATATTTTGTATTTCTTATAACAAGAATTTCTTATATTCTGCATAAGAGATTAATTGTCTATATCTAATGTATGTATAATCGATTGCAAAAATAAAATGAAAATTTAATGAAATGTGATAGAAGTACCATTTTTCCCATTCATTAAATGCATTCATTCATGGATTCAATATTCAATACAATAGTCAGAATATATATACAGTACATTTATGATTTTAAAGAGAGCAGAGAAAACAAAATTCAAACAAATCTCTGATCTCTTTAACAGTTGACAATGAGATAAATTTCGGGAAACTCTCTTTCGTTCATTCGTTTCTCGACTCGAGAAATCTCTGCATCAAAAGTTTTGATCTATTCACACAGTGACACTTCTCTCACTTTCCAACATTTTTAAAATTACTATCGTAACTTGGTACGTGTTTCTATCACTCTTACCTGAGAGGAATGTCAATTTTCAGCGACGCCTATGCACCTCGTCCAATCCGTCCTCGTTCATGTAAGTCAACACGATGACGAATCGTCAAAGATCCTACTTCGCACTTCGCGCGCGAGAAACATAGAGAGAGAGCATCCGATCGGTGTTTTTGTTACACGCGTATATAAATGTAACGCGTGTTGTGTGTGCGCGTACAGCGCCCTTATCGGCGCTCCTGTATGCGTGCGCGCCGCGCGTGACGTATGTCGTACGTACATACGTCATGTACACGTGCACACACACATGACGCATGACGCCATGATACGTGCGCGCCCGACACGTATACACATACATGCGCACGCACGCACGCGCGCGAGCGCGCGCGTTTGTGCAACACATTATCCGCCGTATCTATACGCCAACGCGTAGTGCATCTTCGTCGTCGATTTTCGTGGCTTGGCGGGTTCGCGATCCGAGTCGCGATCTCGTATTCCCGATATCCAGGAGGGAACGACTCGCTGGCACGCGGGATCGAGAAATTATATTGTCCACAGTGGGGCGACGCGCGTGAACAGGTTGAAAGGGGAACGTCAGCACGCACAGGCCGCAACCTATATTTTTGTACCTCCATGAAAGGGCCATGTAACCTATGTCGTGAGTATCGACGAACGGATCGGCTTGTCCGATCTCCCGGCGCGGCAACAGGTTCGCGACCGTACGGGATACTTGGCCCCGGACCGGTCCCGGCACATCCCGGACCGTCCGTCGCCGAGAACCCGGTCACGTCGTGTTTCGAACCTGTTACCGCGTTTGAGGTTATGTGAGAGGATACGGATTTTTTTTTTTATGTAAAATTTCTGGCTGCACCCATCGTGTACAACGCTTTTCCCTTGTCTCTTTTTGCCCGGGGATTTGTTTTTTTCTTTTTGAAATAACGTCTTGATCTTTCGCATACATCGTGGTAATGTACGTGAGCGAATAAATTCACTTCACTTTCAGAGTGAAGTGTAACAAATGGAAGGTTTTAAGGTGAAAGATGAACCGATGGATGCATTAGCCATAGACAGTCATGGTAAACCAAACCATTTGTATGAAACGGCAGCAGGTATCGTGCTTAAGGAGGAACCAGGTGACAGATTTGATCCCGACTACATGGAGGATATTTGCTCCGGCACTTTCGAGAAGGGCACTTTATTCTTGCCTATCGAAAACAATGAGGTGGATTTCTCCAATGAAATGGTAAATATATAATTGGAACCATTAATCTATTCACGAGTTACATCTGCACATTGTGTATTCTATTTTTGAGAAGATATCTGCTACGCGTATCATGTTATATGTATTGTTATATCCTTTTCTAAATACTCTATTATCTTGCAGGTAAAGTTAGAATTGGAAGGGGAATCTACCAGCCACCAGAACTGGGCAGCACAGATAGCAAGCGCAAATTTATGCGACAAGGAGGATGCTGTGATGCAACGATGTTTGGCTAATACAAATTTTATACAAGCACAGGATCCTGACAAGCATGGATTCTGTCAAAACGGTCAGCAAACGAAATTTTACAAAATACAGTGCTCAATTTGCAAAAAATGGTTTCTGAACAATGATTCCATGGTGACGCATCTGAGAATGCACTGTAGCGGAAATCAATGCGAGGTTTGCCAACAGAGTTTTACTGACAACTCTAGCCTGCACGCCCACATGTTAACTCACGTTGGAATGAGTCCGTTGGAGTGCCACATCTGCCAAAAGATATTCGCTTATAAGTGGAGCTTGAGAAATCACATGCAATTGCATGTATTGGATAAACCGTACGATTGCGACGCGTTGCAGCAGGCTTTTATGAAACGAGCGGGTTTAAACGATCAAATGATGGACGAGAGATTTTTCGAATGCGACGTATGTCATATGACGTTCAAGGAGAAACTTAATTTAAATCGACACATGTCCAGTCACACGGCGGACAGGCCCTACAAATGCTCAGTCTGCTTCGAGGCGTTTAAGGAAAAGACGAAATTGAACATGCATTTGCCGCTCCACGCTGCGAACAAGCATTTCAAATGCACGCTCTGTCACAGATCCTTCGCTCAGAAAACGGCGCTCAGCAATCACATGCTGGCGCACAGTGGCGAGAAACCACACGCGTGTAACATCTGCGAGAAAACGTACAAGAGGAAATCGGAATTAATTAGGCACACCATGGTACATACCGGCGAGAGACCATACGAGTGCAAGGAATGCCTAATGACCTTCCGCGAGAAAGCCAAATTAAATTCGCACATGCTCGTTCATACGGGCGAGAAGCCACACGAGTGTCACATCTGTCATAAGGCGTGCGCGCGGAAATCGGATTTGAACAGTCACATGCTGTTGCACACCGGCGGTCAGTATGACTGCAAAGTTTGCGACAAGATCTTTACGAGGAAGTCGGATCTGAATAGACATACCCTGATACATACCGGCGAGAAGCCGTTTGCGTGCAATATGTGCGACATGGCGTTCCGGGAGAAGACGAGATTGAATTCGCACATGCTTATACACACGGGCGATAAGCGGCACGCGTGCCATATTTGCCAGAAAACGTTTAAGGAGAAGTCATCGTTGAGGAAACACATGTTAAGTCACACCGGCGACAGACCATACGAGTGCTACGTGTGTCACAAGGCCTTCACGCAGAAAACTACGTTGAACAGCCACATTATGGTTCACGCCGGTGAAAGACCCTTCGAATGTAGTACTTGTCAAAAAATATTCAAGGACAAAGCAGCGTTGAAAAAGCACTTGTCGATGCACGTTAACGAGAAAACTCACGAATGTCTTATTTGTATGAAAAAATTCGCTCATAAAGCAGCATTAAATAGTCACCTATCCACGAATCACATATCCTAACTACACGGATCTAGTCTATTACGGCTTTCTGTTTCTTTACATTGAGCACCGTATGTTTGTAGTTGTATAGCATATTTCCATGATTACACCTGTATCTCTGTTTTATATGCCAATAGGTCCGATAAAGTCGTATTTTTTCCTGTGTATGGAGAAATAATAAAAATTAATTTCTAAGTAATATCACCAGTCACATACACGCTCCTACCTGAAAGATGAATGAAGTCTTCTAGAACGTTTATAATTCGTGCATTACATGTATTAAATGTAATCCGAAAACTGATATTATAAAAGCAAATATTTAATTCTTTTTTTTTCCAGAAATAGAAAATTTTAGTTATTTTTCTAGAAAAAGGAAAAAATAAGATACGAACCAAACGCGCAAATAAAAATATGATGCAAAAAATATGTTTATATGAATCCTAAAAAAAGCATGATACATCAAATATAAGAGAAAATTTCGATCTTTTTCAATCTGAAAATATGCAAAAATTGTGATTATTAATATGATATAAAATTATTATCAGTTTGAAAGTTTAAAGTATTATATTTTAAAAACGAATAGATATTCAATGTATTAAATGTTGAATAATAATAACGAACTGAAGTTTTTGTACGATAGACTGTATTATATAATATTGAAGAATAATTATTATTTCATTAAATTGGAAAAGATAAGGACACAAAAAATGTCGGAGATAGATATGAGTAAATCATTGCATATCATTTATTTGATCCATATTTTAAGAGAAAAGATTAATGTACATATTATTTGTTGGGATATAACTGGATTTTCATATTTCTTGGTAGAGTTGAAAGAACTATAAGTTGATACCTGAAATAATATCGTATACACACAATGAAATTATTATATGATTTTATAAATATTTTTCATTTATATATGAAAAATCATTTCTTTTTCTTACAAATAAGATAGATTTTATTAAATTAAAATAGCGAAGGAACAATTAATGTTATTGAGTATGGAATTATCAGATGATTACATCGATAGCAAATTGTAAAACAATTGCAATATTTTTAATATATATTTTTGCGAAAATTTTTTGTTTCATATATCATAAACTATGATTCTTATAAGTGAACGTTGATGAGTAAAACATTTCTTCGTCCAAACATTTCAATAAAAAGTTCAATTATACTCAGAAATTTAAATATTAAGAATTTTTTCTTCTTGAAACATTTTACTTATATCAAGCAAAAAATGCATGAACGAATCGTCTGAATATTTTAATACGTACCTAATAAAGGTCCATATCCTGGTCCCATGTTGTATCTACCATTGTTTTCACCACTGTAGGGATAACCATCATAGTCCTGGTTTCCTCTGCGATTAAATTGGCCTCTATTAGTCATCATGCCCATAGGCCACGTCTGTGAACCTATGAATTGTATAATATTAAAAAGTTATAAATAAATCTAAAATTCGTTATGTTAAAATATCCAACTTATAGGGATTCGTAATATAAACGATATAATACAGACAAATTAAAATTTGATGTAATTCGTCAAAGAGAAAGAAATTGGATCGACAGTCTTAGATGATTGTAATACATGAATCAGGCATCCTGAAATATGGGATAAAATAGAAATACAACATACGATTGTAACTTATACCTATACGAATGATTTCAAACCGATCGAACTGTTTTATTTTGAACAAAGCTACGAAGATTTATCAAAGATACAAGTTTTATTATTTAACAAATCGCATGAAACTGTAAAATGGATAATGTCATAATGGTTGTCAATACAAAAGTAATAACAAATATAATAACAAGACTTACCAAATTGCGCGTTACACAGCTGAAACAGTAATACTAATACAGCTGAAATTAGTATAATCTTCATGATGGTTGTAGCACCGGATTCACAAGTTCACGGTAGGTCTTAACAAAAACGACTAATGCCATGCGCATTTAACATATCTTTTTATATATTTCTTAATGACCTATAATTACTTCTATGTTATAAGAATATTTGCGAATAATAGCTCGGTCTTTTTATATACATACCCAGTGAACGATAAACTGATGATTATCCATACCTTCAGAATTTTAACTTACGAATTATCATTGCCTATGCTATGGAATTAGATTCTTTATCTTATATTGATCGAATAATATAATATATTCAACTGCGATATATTTCGCTTAAAACAAAATTGATATCGTAAAAATAATGCAAATTAATATTTCTTTTTAACGGGCCATCCTATAGAGTTATTATGGAATACTACTAAATCGATGTGTACAGTCAATTATCGTTCACATAACGGGTAATTAGCGTTTGCGACGTAAATAATCATTCGCGTGATTCTGCGAAATCTGTTTATTCTTCGCCGATTAAACAAAATATGTGTGTACAAATAGACGATGTATATATAACGAAAAAATTCTATCCACATCATATATCACGACGAATGGATATAAATATATATGTATATATAAAATCTTTATATACAAAAAAAATCAAGAGTATTTTATATTTATTAAGTAGTAAGACATTAATTAAATATATATTATGCTTTGGAATTATGTCATCAACATATCTGCATATTTATTCCGTTTTGCATCTTCTGACTGAATTAGCCCTTTACGTCGGTAGGATAATTTCCTGACCAGCCTGTAATGACATAATATTTGTTTTGATATTTATATTTAAATCGGGCACGAACTTATGCAATCACCTGATATATATATAACTATTATCTTTCAAGTAAAATATTACATTGCAGTTTATATATATGCTTATAATATATGTTTATACGTTTGGAAGATTAATGCTAAAACTCACTTCCGGAATTACTACTGGCAAAGGCACTGCTGGAAGCCCAGGAATTAGATCCGCCTTGATGTTGTGCTCCGCTGGAAGGCCAGTTTCCGCTACGAGCTTGACCAAAATCATCGCCGGATCCTGAGAACACAAATAAATTGTACAATGAATTTATTTATTCGATTTTCACAGGTAAATCGATTACAGGCTCTACATACGAACAGAATCTTATTTTCAAGACATATGTTGCAGTTTGGCTTAAAACGAACTAATTAAATTCCACGTTTAAGAATATTCTACATATTATAAAATATTATACAAATATCTTTTTAAAATGCGACATGTTAATAGCATTTCGTTGTGTGAAAGTACGTTGTGTGAAAAGCACATCTCATTGCTATAACAGATAAATATTGTATGATAAGTTAATTACTGGTGGAATGGATTGTATAATAGCTTTCGTAGTCGAAGAACGGAAACGGATATCTGGCGCTTACTATTAATTCAAATACTGCCTTCTTATTTGATTTATGCATCATTGTACGATAGATCGCATCAATCACATGTGTATTTCCAATCTCTCATATGCAACCACGATAGACCTTGAGGCATTTCCGACTATGAGAGAGATATACTTTATTATATCTCTTACCTATGCCTCGTTTCAAAAACGTGCACAACAAATGTTTCGCGTTAAGTAGAGAAGTTAAATTAGTCGTGGGAAAATTTAAACATCCATTCATATGATCCACTTGATGAAGATATAAACGCCGAGAAATTATGAACGCATCGTTGATTTGATATATAATTATCATACACTCCCTCAAATCGTACGTTTTGATCTCCACCTAACTCTGCGACTTGTTAACGCAACATTGATTATCTTATTGTCAGTATATTTGATCAATGTCGAGTTATCATTTTCAATAAATTTTACCGCTTGTTCATATCATTACATGCAACTTTGAGAATTAATGCAGTAATGTTTTTATAAGACTAAAAAGATCTTGAAACATTTGTTGTAATTTTCAAGCAATTGTAGGAAAGATTGTACACTAAATTGTTATATTCTCGTAATTTTAAGAATATTATGTCATTATAACCTTTTTCTTAAAATAGTGTAATGTTCTTTTCGTAAACAAATCGCATCTTGAGATTATTCCAAGGATGCAATGTGTACATTAGATATATAATGTTCTATATCAGAAATGATATATATATATAAAATTATTTACGTTTATACGCTTTTGCGAGGAACAAACCTGCTGTATTGGAGAAAGGTAAAGATTTAGCGCTGGGAAAGTTGGAAGCTTGAGCGTTGCTAAAGGATCCAGCATAAGCTCCACTAAGAGATCCTGCCAAGTTACTTCCCGCCGATGTGGGATGACCTGCGCCGAATTGACCGTGAGTTATTCCAGTTCCAGTATTGCTGGACGTACCAGGAACACTGCCGACGTTTCCTGAATTTCCACCACCAGTTCCGACATTTCCACTGATCCCTCCAAACACGCCTCCCGGATGCTTACCGCTGCTAGTCTCGTAGCTTCCGCTACCGGGCGTTCCGCAACCGAAAATACCCAACTTACATCGTAACGGATCAACTCCGCGAGAATTTCCACTTGTAGGATAAACCCCGCCGCTATTTTCCTGCTGCGGCGAAACTCGACCACGAGAACCACCCTTTACACCGCCGCTTTCTGGCGTTCCCAATGCAGGATATCCGTCAGGCTGTCCACCAGTGTATGATGAACCGTCTGAACCGCTGTTTCCACTTCCGAAAAAGGGATTGTATTCTTCGGGTTTCCTTCCTCCGAGCGGAATCACACCTCGGTTAGGATTAACTTCGATATCTCCTCTTCTCTTGTTGTCATCCAGGAAAGGATTCCCTTGACCGATAGGTTTTATATTTCTTTCACCATGAGGGATCACATTTTTATCATTATTTGCATTACTATATGCAGGCTTAGGAGATCTGTTCCAATCGGGATCGAGGAATGGATTTCCCTTCCCGATCGGTTTAACTGTAGTTTCGCTCTTCCAGGGACGTGAAACATCGCTTGGAGTACCGCCTAAATAATGGGGGAAATATATATCCAATGTTTATATATATTATATTTTATACAATATATATTTAATATGTATTTTCATATCACAAAATTACTTAATATTTTGAAAAATTATTTCCATATTTTGAAATATTTTATCTCACACAGTTTCACTTATTTTATTTAAAGATAAATGTAATTTATAAATATTAAAGATAAGATTTTAAAAAATTTTTCCGTGTACACCATCAATATATACCTCCAGTTCCAAACAAGAATGGATTTGCGGAATTCCATTGCACAGGACCTTTAGGTATTACATTTGCGCCTTCAATTAAAATTAAAATCAAAATTTAATTTTATTCAATTATATTTAAACCTATGTATGTATGTATATGAGTGAGAATAACTCGTACTACATATTATTGAAGTGTTTACACAATAGTTTAATAGCCACAAAATACTTTAGTTAAGTATCATTTGTTACCTTGATTACACGAATTGTCTCCACTTCTACATCCTCTATTGGTTCCAGGATAAGCCCCGATGCCGCTATTAAAAGATGGAGCTGATCCATATATATTCCCGATGTCTGGAACATGGCCATCACCGGTTCCAGCAGGATAATATGTTTTATTAACGCCGCTGGGACCGCTTACTGTTTCACCGCATGGTCCATGTGTCATTGGTGCATTATTATCTCTTCCAGTACAACTGCCCTCGCAATTATAATTCCCGCCTCCGCAGTTGCTGCTTTCTCCGTACGGACCGATGCTACCTCCACAGTTTACGCTCGAACATCCAGATATGCCTGGCCACGTCCCACTTCCGTCTTCAGGTTGCTTGCTAGGCCAAGCTCTATTACCGTCTGAAGGTTGCTTGCTAGGCCCAATTCCACTTCCAACTCCAGGATAACTACCGGACGTAGCGCTACTTCCATCTTCAGGTTTTCCACTAGGCCAACTTCCGGTTCCGCTATCTGGATGTCTCGTAGGCCAAGTTGCACTAACGCTTCCAGGTTGTCCTCCAGGCCAGGTACTACTTCCATCTCCAGGTTTAACATTAGGCCAAGGTCGATTATTGCCTCCAGATTGTTTCTCGGGCCAGGTATCACTGGTTTCAGGGTGTCCGCCAGGCGTAACTTCACTTCCGTCTCCAGGTCTTCCACTAGGCCAACTTCCGGTTCCGCTACCTGGTTGCCTGGTAGGCCAAGTTGCACTAACGCTTCCAGGCTGTCCTCCAGGCCAGGTACTACTCCCATCTCCAGGTTTTTTGCTAGGCCAAGGTCCGCTACTGCCTCCAGGCAGTTTCCCGGGCCAGGTATCACTAGTTCCAGGGTGTCCGCCAGGCGTAACTCCACTTCCGTCTCCAGGTCTTCCACTAGGCCAACTTCCGACTCCGCTATCTGGTTGCCTGGTAGGCCAAGTTGCACTAACGCTTCCAGGCTGTCCTCCAGGCCAGGTACTACTCCCATCTCCAGGTTTTTTGCTAGGCCAAGGTCCGCTACTGCTTCCAGGCTGTTTTCCGGGCCAGGTATCACTGGTTCCAGGGTGTCTGCCAGGCGTAACTCCACTTCCGTCTCCAGGTCTTCCACTAGGCCAACTTCCGGTTCCGCTACCTGGTTGCCTGGTAGGCCAAGTTGCACTAACGCTTTCGGGCTGTCCTCCAGGCCAAGTACTACTTCCATCTCCAGGTTTTTTGCTAGGCCAAGGTCCGCTACCTCCTCCAGGCTGTTTTCCGGGCCAGGTATCAGTTACAGTTCCAAGATGCACGCCAGAAGTAGCACCACTTCCAGGTTGTTCACCAGGCCAAGTTTGACTTCCACTTCCAGGTTGCTTGCCAGACCAAGCACCAGTTCCGGCATAAGAATGTGTGCCATGAGGAGCAATTCCATAAGTAGATCCGGTATTTCCAGGGGAGCTCTTGACTCCAGGATAACCCAAAGCTCCTTCATATCTTGGCGTTGTTTCAGTTATATAAGGAGTGCTGGGAAATGTCCCGAATGCGCCTGCGCCAGCGGTCGCACTTGCGCTACTACTTGCTCCATTAAAACCGGGTTGCTTTAGACCTGTTCCGCTGTATGAACTGCCGAGTGATGCGGGACCTGGAATGTTTGTGTGACCAAACGGAGATTTGGTAGTGTCAAATCCAGTAGTAGAGCCAGGAAATCCATGAGAAGCTGTGGTTCCCGGACTATGCCAGGTACTACTTCCGCTTGCAGGCTGACCGGTATTTAACGAGGAGCTAGTGATTCCGCTTCCGTAACTCGGTTTAGTGACACCCGGATAATCATAAACGCCGCTTCCAATCGGAGATCCCGGTAATTTTCTAGAACTGAATGTATTTCCTCCAAACGGTCTTTTTGTAGTTCCGAAAGTATTTGCTACATTCGACGGCCACGTATTTTCGCGTCCAGGTTTGTTATAATCAGAAACACTTCCTGGACTATAAGTGCCACCGCTAGTGTTAGGATGTGCTTGATCTATTCCACTATACGGCGTTTGAGTGCCTGCTGGTTTGTTAAAAAATGGATGATCTTTTTTCCCAAAATTAGGTACTTCTCCGTGAGGAGTGCTCCCAATGCCGGATGTTACGCTTGCTCCAGCATAAGCATTAGTACCTGTGCACACAAAACATTAAGTTTAGATTCTCTAAAAAATTCTAAATTAATGCAAATTTCAATATCTCCAAAATATCATGTAAAAAACAGATTATCTAAAATTGTATTTTTTTTTTATGTGAAACCAATACTATATTATTGTTAATAAAATAACAAATTGTTATTCTCATAAACACGCACTTTGTGCTGTTCCAGGTTGACCATAAGGCCAATTCTGATTTTCCTTTGGGTTTCCATAACTATTTGGAGAAGATATACCACTTCCTGTTTGTGAAACCGCAGAAGAAATACCACTTGGAGATTCACCACTTTTCGTTCTGTCAATATCGATAGGAGTTGCGCCCAATTTGACAGGACCTTGTATTCCTAATGTAACAAATTAATACATATTGTAAAAATATACAAATTTTATTATTTTTTTGTCATATATTTGTTTATATGTATATGTATATATTTGTTTTAATTCTATTTTAATTTGCATAAATTTATACATTAGAATAATATAATGAAAAATATTATGAAAATTAAAATAAAATATTACTATAATGTATAAACTCTATAATATTAGTAGCGCAAAAATAAAAAATGAACGTAACACATTATTATTCTTGTGATTGCAGACGCATTATCGTAAAACAATATGTGTTTCAGATTTATGATATATAAATTTTTTATTTTTGAAACTCCAAGATATGAATAATATATAAAAAATGTATAAACTGATGATACTTTTTATTATGATAACCACTGAAAATAAAGAAAGCGTATTAAAATTTATTATTGCGCTTTTTCATAAAAAGATTATCGTACTAACCTTGAGTGCAACTTGAATCAGGTCGAGGACAACCAGTTGTACCGATGGACTTGGTACCATAATTCAGATTCGAACTCGGTTCAGGTTTACCGCCGGATGGAGCATTCCAGCTTTGTCCAGGTTTCGGCGTTGTGCCAAAGCTTGTGCCGTCGTATCCAGTATTCCAAGGAGTCCCCCCAGGTTTTCGCGAAAACGGAAGCCCTCCGGCTGAACTACTGTCGAATCCAGAATTCCCGTTCGGTTCAGATTTCGGCGTGACGCCGAAGTTTCCGGTAGGTCCACGGCCGGTGCTCCAACCTGGTGCCGGTTTCTGCGAAAAGTCTGTCGTTGGAGTATTATCAAATCCAGTATTCCATCCTTGTCCGGGTCTCGATGTGCTCGCAGTAGGAGCATTATCAAATCCGGTATTCCAAGGTTTTTGTGAAAACGGTTGTCCGCCAGTTGGAGCACCAGATCCGATATCCCAATTTCTAGGTTTCGGCGTTGTTACGAAATTTCCGGCGGGTCCAGAGCTGTCCCAAGTAGGCTTCGACGAGGAAGCAAAACCACCTGGCGTTGTTCCTCTGTTCCAATTTGGCCAAGAACCTGATGTTGTGCCGTAGGCACCTGCGGTTGCGCCAGCATATCCGGGCTTTAATGTCGTATAAGCGAACGGAGTGTTCCAGCCTGATCCAGGTTTCGGCGTATTTCCAGTAGCAAAGCCACCAGTTGGGGCTGCGTATCCGGTAGTCGGCACTGGATAGTTAACACCGCCAATAGAACCAGCGGGTCTACCATCTTTAGGTCCGTCATCAACATACGCATCTATGGGTCCGGTCTTGTGTACACCGGATGGACGCGATCCCGATTTATGTCCTCTATCGGGTCCGCCCGCGCCACGATGACGCGTCCCGTCCGGCCTGTATTGACCATCGTCGCATTCATCCCCGTCATTCTCGTCCCCCTCCTCCTCCGGTTCGTCGTGTTCCCAATAATCGTCATTTTCCCATTTGCATTTAGAACAATCATTCTTATTATAGCCATGATCTGAGCTTTTTATTCCGTCACCGTCGGCGCCATGTCCTGGAACGACGCCGTAGGATTTCGTACCGCGATTGGCGTCATTGTCATGGGAGAAACTGATGCTGTCATAGCTGCGAATCCCTTTATGTCCGTCATAGGCTCCGGGAAAGTCTCCCGCTCCTCCAAATGCACTGGCGCTACTTAATGCGGATGCACCAGCTCCAGCGTAAGCGCTGGCTGATGCTGCACCGCGTGAAAAAAATACCATTTTTAATAATGATATACGCATAAATATGTTTTTTTTTTATTTAAACTCTGTTTTTCTTTATTTTACTTCTAATTTTGAAGCTTATAAATGGGAATCGCGTCGAGATGGACAGCGGCGGTTATAATTTTCATACATGTTTGATACTTTCTTTGCTCTCATCCATTAATACGACCGAAACATAGAACACCTTAGGGTTGTTGCAACGGATAACTTAGTACGCGAAAGAAATTTGTAGGGAAATCGGTAGGGAAATAAATCTGTTTTACATCCACAGAAACACAAGATTGATAGAATATTTCACAATAAATTCAATTTCGGAATTTTCAAAGAATATTTTATGTGAATGAAAAAAATGACTCTTTTCTTCATAGATATAACAATAATATATATATATATATATATATATATATATATATATATATATATATGTGCACAAATTATAATGCGGTCGTATGCGTGACAAGGATCTTTAACGTTATTTATAAAGATGATTTCACTATCATGCACACATATAGAAAGGATTAATATACATACCGAAGGCGCCGCTACTGCCTCCATTTGCGCGTGCACCTGAAATTGAAAACACATAACAACATAAGATTTGTCACAGAGAAAAATTACAATCCGCAAACTACAAATTAAAATCCTTAATTAAATTCAATCAAATACGAAATATGTATTTCTAAATATATATATTTATAAATATATATATATTTTGATTCATTGATTACATCAAGTGTGTTTTTGAAATAATATCGATTTCTTTGAAATAATACATGGACAATCTTGAAAAAAAAAAATAATTAATTAATATACCTAAACTAGATCAAAGACGGGCTACTCATCGTCAGTTCTAAAAAGTTCTATTTTCTAATCTATTTTTAAGATCTATTAGGATCAAAATAAATATTTTTGTATATCCATTTTCTTTAATATTTAACAAAAGAAAAACGAATAAAAAAATTACTTGACGTTTAATAAAAAATGGCAAGAATAAGGATAAAGATCAATTCTTTTCATATGAAATTATACGATTTTTAGAAATATAATTTGAGACGATTAATTACTCGTTTAAGTACGCGAGACTACCTGATCCGACGAAAAACGTGCACACGACAAGGGCTACCGTTAGAGAACACTTTAAACAGCCAGGCCGGATTTCAGTCATCTCGGTGGATGCTGGTTCATAGATGTTGCTTTACCGGTTGCCTCATGTACACTGCAGCACCGGTTGCCAAGAGCATCCTAAAAGATCGAAGGCTCATACATATATATATATAAGGATACCCCCAGCAAAATGTGTGTGCGTGAAAGGGAATCGCCGAGGCGAATCCCGACGCCGCGAGGCAATCCGGCAAAGGCAGCATCCTCGCGCAGCAAACATACATTGTCGAACAATGAGTAATTATATTGTTGCCATCGCCAAAGCGAATGTGCGGCAATATAATAGAAGCGTCGCGACTGGTATGATGAGACGGTCCTGCGCAGAGATGACTGCGTCATCGTTCTTTAAGTTTCCCCGGAGAAGAGACTTCGATGCTCGTCACGTCACGTTTTCACACATCCTGTACAAGGTATGCGGCAAGCGAATGCTGATTCCCATGTTATGAGAAGCTCGTCTCATCGCGTCATTTTTATCCTTACTGCAAAATATAAATAATGATTTTGAGATAATAATTAACTAAATTATCTGTTAGTAATAAAGACAAAAGATTATTAGACTGACGTGTATTTGCTAGCATTCAAAATGATGGAATTTGTTTTTCTTTTTAAAGAGAGAAAGCCATTTGTTTTTATACTTTAACAAATGTGATAAATTTCAGTAAGATCTCTATTATACAAAGTCTTAATATTAACAAAACTGCAGATCTTGCTTAAATTTTGAAAAATATGTATATACCGAAATCTCATAATGCTTCCATTACTGAACGACTTTGTACTATTTAATGAATGCCTCGACAGTAAAAAAAGATGACTATTTGTAATTTAATAATTTAATTAATTTAAGATGATTGTGTGTACAAATAATATCACTGAGAACAATATATTTTCAAATCTCTTCTCCCCAATAAAAAAAAAATCAATTAGACTCTTAAAATATGCTGCGTTAAATTGATTATTCTTTCAAACATAATTAGTTTTATTTAGCTAATATCCGTTTGTTGAATCATTTCTCTTTAAATGATAATCCATATTTAAAAAGATTCGATTGGAGTAAAATTTATACTATATCTCATAAAAGTTTTATGTATCTATCTTTATCGAATACATAAACTCTGGGGTCTCGCGTATTAGAATATCACAACAAAAGAGACTGGTTTCGACAACAGAGAAGACAGGTTTTTTTCGGCGAATCATTTACATCAAAATGTGTATGCCGATGAGATTCTTCTCGCATTATTGTATACATCACCGCGGACTCCTCGCGCAATATAAATGTCGCAGAACTATGCGATCACTACGCATGTATGATACTTGCGTATTATCATTGTACAAGGCAAAACCTCTACGACTCATTGTGTAATAATAATGATACGTCTATGATCGCGCGTATTTTTAGAACGTACACGTATTGTAATACATCGTACATCCTCCTAAATACCGTATCCTGGATGTAAAGTACGACGATCGTCTAATCGGAAAAGCACAAGATATATGAAAAAAAAAAAATGCGCGGCCACAAATCTCTTATCGATGTAGAAGCATGCAGAAGATGTTATCTCGGAACAAAGATTACAATTGGCTCATTATCGCGCGCTGCATCCGCGTTTAAAAAATTAATCATACAATCCGCGAAATTCGCGATACCGGATACAAAAAGAAATATCTTACAGAATATAAATAAATCTTTTACGAGACGTAATAATTTATTTGTTGAATTAAGATAAAAATATGATCGCACGGTACAAAGTATACGTGCTCTCTTTGTCATTCTCGATTCCTTTGTAAAAGTTTTTATTTATATCACGTCCAATAATTGTAATAAGTATATGTTAAGAAATTCTAATATGGACAAAAGTATAATCATTATTTTAAATATATGTAAAACTTACGTGAATAATTTTTCTCTAACAAATCCTATCCCAGTGAGCATTATTGAGAGGATGAGCTCTTTAAGAGGACTTTTTAAAGACTTAATTAAATTTTCTTAGAAATGATATCAGTAAGTTATCTTTTTGTAAGATATCTTTCACAAGAGCTCTTTATGATATCTCTTCATAGATATCTCTAAAATCTCTAGCAAGCGTGCCATTTAAGATATTTTACGAAAGCCGCACACATGCACAAGCAACGTACATGTAAACTAGAGACCCTGTGTCTAGTGTGAACTGCGTGCCACTGCATGCTCTGGATTTCAAAGAGATAGCATTTCTTCAATATTAACGTTTTTAAGATAATCTTTCTTTCTTAAATTTATATATGCAGTTATTATTATTATTATTTTTTTTTTATAAATCTTAATTGTTTCATTTAAATGGAGATAAAATATAAATGCCATTTAATAATAAATATTTTAAATAAACACATACATAATATCACATATCCTGTGCATACGTTAAAACTTACTGATTGTATTATGACAGACTATTATATTATTTATGCTATTTTGTATATATTGTATTAATTAATAATATTTATTGAAATTATTTTAGCATATTGCATGATATTGTTTTTTCAGTCGGGAAGTAGCTGGAAATTTCAGTAATTCAAATGTTGAAACTCAACCACCTATGATGTCATTCAAAGCATTCCTTGGTACTCAAGAAGATACTATTACTGACGAGGAGGCTATTAAACGCTACAACGAGTACAAATTGGAATTCAGGAGACAGCAACTCAATGAATTCTTTGTCGCTCATAAGGACGAAGAATGGTATATTAATTTTTATATTCTTCTTTTTCACACTTGAGGGGGTTGCATTGTTACATATTATAGAGGATTGAACAATTTTATCGCGGCATTGTTTATGTACGATGAAGTGTAATTAATTTCTATAGTGGCTGAAATATTTTTGCTGAATTTATCAAGCTAAATAGTAAATGATATCATTGAAATCATAACTTTACAAAAAAAAATATGAATACATTTAAATAACGCGGCCATTGTAGGAGATCACACAAAACTCTGTCCACGCATGTACATATATCGCAACACATGCCTGGTGGAGGTAGATAATTTATATAATCTTTGATAAATTGCAGACACATGATACTATAGCTCTAATTTCAAACAATATGACCAGCTCTGTCTATCCCTACAGCGTATCGCCGTCATCGCCTTATACCTTGGGTCATCTCGCTCGTTTATTTTCTCGTACGATATTTTATGAATTTCGCGTTTCGCGCATCGCTGAAGACACGAGGTGCCTGTTTAGGTAGCTAAATAAATTGCGAGCTGGGCGCGCAAAGCCCAAAATATGCTCGCGTATAGGCCGCGTTCTAAACCCGCTATTTATTTGTCACGCTCGAGTACTATACTTGTCTATAAGACAAGTACTTGTCTGAATCGACGAGAAAACTGAATGCGAGTAGAAATATGACTGCAGGTGAGGCTTCATTCTGTAACCGACAATGCATGGTATTACCGACCATGCTTCGGGTATATTTAATTACGATATATACGAATTTGGATAAATCAAGGAACAAGGATTCGCGACTAATTAAAACTCATACAATTTTTCGTTTCGTCGATTTTTAATTTATTATAAAGGGCGACATAGCTAACGGGTTTGAATACTTCTTACTAATGTCTCATTTTTTTCTACCTGGCTACTTTCCTCTATACATTCTACTGATTGTGATCATACTTTTAACAAAAGTTGTACCATAGGTACAATTATGTTTATAATTGATACAAGATTCTTGTTCAGAAACTTTTACTTTACAAATATATGCATGCGCATGCAAAATATGAGGAAGCAAGATGCCGACTCTTTTGCTTTTACTTATGTGGAGCATAAAAAAAAAATATTGTGCAACATTTTATATACCTCATATCTGCATACGCAATTAATATACGGAAAAAAGGTGCCGATTTTCATTCGCGTTGCATCTTTTAAATTACAGAACTAGCTGCATCACTGAATTATACGTATGTGTGTTCCTATTCAAGACGTATAAGATTCATATAGTATTATTACATTGAACTGCTTTGTGAGCATTCACTTATTATGCTTTTTCTATTGATCATTAGGTTCAAAATAAAATATCATCCTGAGGAATCAGTGAAAAGAAAGGATGAACAAGTATCAGCGCTTAAGGTAGATGCAATGCTAAAATATATGAAACATCATCTTCTGATTTTAGAATATTTATCTGACTGAAATTATATTGCAGAAACGCGTGGATGTTTTTCTGGAGTTGCTGAACTCGAGAGAGATAGAAAAAGTGTCTGTCGACGCCGATCAAGCAGATGCATTGCTACATCTTTTAGATGCAGTAGTTATTAAACTGGAAGGAGGAACAGAAGAGGATTTACAAGTTTTAAACATCAAGCCACCTAAACCTATAATAGCTAAAGATGTCTTGAAAGAAAAAGAAGATAATAAGAATAAATCTTCTACAGAAAAAAAATCCGAGAATAGGTATTACATGACATTAGATATTAAGATATACATAAGGTATAAAGAAATCAAATTGATAATATATTTTGCAATTATTTCTGTATTTGCTTTATTTCAGCGATGAAAACAAAATGGACGAGTGTAGCGAGAAAAGCTCCAAAAATGATGAGAATGCCATGACAGAAGTCGAAAATTCGGAAAAAGATGAAAATGCGATATCTGAATCTGATAAAATAAAGCAAAATGACGATGAATGCAAAGACGTGGAAGAAACTGCTAATGATGATAAGCCTCGTATGTATATCTCAACATTTGACAACCTTTACACTCTACGCAACATTATACATAATATTATTTCTCTTATTACAGCGGAAAAATCAGAGAAATCAAGGAAACGTAAACGTACCGAGAGCAATAGCAGCAGTAGTAGTAGCAGTAGCAGTAGTTCTTCTGGTAGTGACAGTAATAAACCAGAGACACCGAAAACGGAGACTCGTAAGTACAACTAAATAGATATTTCTTCGCAGAAATTATCATCATATGAGGTATATCTTTATATTATATTTATTTTACTCAAATCACACACATACATTTAATTATCATCAGCTGCCAATGAAAAAATGGAGGCTAATAACGAAGAAACTGACGAAGGAGACGCTAAGAAAGAGAATCAAGAAACTAAAACAAAAGTAGAAATTACGAATAATAAAAAATCTACAATTGAGCCAGAAGCAGTGATTGATTTGGCCAGTGAAGATAAGGATAAGGAACCTAGAGCTCTGCACAAAACGAGCAGCATTTTCCTTCGTAATTTAGCGCCCACGATTACCAAAGCAGAAGTTGAAGCGGTTAGTTGAAACATTATCTATTAAATAATCTTATAAAGGATTTACTTGTTAGTAACTCATATTTTCTTTACTGCAAATTCTGCTCTTTTGTATTAATGATATAATTATTGATATTTGAAATAATATATTTATTATTATTAAACAGATGTGCAAGCGATTCCCTGGATTCTTACGCGTAGCTATAGCGGATCCGCAACCAGAGAGACGATGGTTCCGCCGTGGCTGGGTTTCGTTCGAGAGACAAGTGAATATCAAAGAAATCTGCTGGAGTTTGAATAACATCAGAGTGAGTTTATTCGTTTGCGCTGTTATTAAAAGAAGGGATTAGGAACACTTTTAAACTCTTCGTCTTTTTCTTTTTTTTATACAGCTACGCGATTGTGAGCTTGGTGCTATAGTAAACAGAGATCTGTCGCGACGTATTCGATCAGTGAATGGTTTAACATCTCACAAACAGATAGTCCGACACGACATTAAACTCAGTGCCAAAATTGTTCACAATTTGGATAATAGGGTGGGCTTATGGAAGGAAGATAAAAAGGATGAAAGTGCATTGAAGCAAGAAGAAGAGAAAGAGAATAAGACCGCACCAAGTAGTAGTGAGGTCGAGCAAGCTGTAAGCAAAATTTTTGGATTATATTTCTATGAAAGTGGTTGTGTATCTAGAAACTTAGTTCACGATTGTATCAAATATTTTGCATTGTCTAGGCTTTTGGATTGTCATCTAAAAATCCAATATTGAAAAATATAACGGACTACTTGATAGAGGAAGCTTCGGCCGAAGAGGAAGAATTGCTAGGTATGTCAGGCGAGCAAGAAGAAGGTCAATTAGGTGGTGACGGAGATAGTTCTATTGAAAGAGATCCAGTTTTAATCAAGGTAAATTAAATAAACTCGTACAAAATGGCGATTGATGATGGAAAATAACGTGTTTGAATTATATTTTATACAAACGTCTTGTGTCTTCATTCCTGCAGGTATTAGACAAATTAGTGTTGTACTTACGAATCGTTCATTCTGTTGACTACTACAATCACTGTGAGTATCCAAACGAAGACGAAATGCCAAATAGATGTGGAATAATGCACGTGAGAGGATCACCACCCAACGCCAAAATTTCCAGCTCTGAATTATCGGAGTATTGTCGTAATTTCGAGAGCAAGATGTCTGCTTTCCTGCAACCAGTCGCTACCTTATCCATTGAAGAATTCGACAAGCTAGGCGCGAAGAATGCCGAAGCGTATCCTTTTTTGTTTCAACAAATGTACAAATGCGCGATACGTTAACCTGAAAATGACAATTAATTCATAATATGAAATATTTTCTTAATATATGAACAGTGAAGTCGAAAAATTTGTCCAAGCTAACACCCAGGAATTGTCAAAGGATAAATGGTTGTGTCCTCTTAGCGGAAAGAAATTCAAAGGACCTGATTTTATCCGCAAGCATATCTTCAACAAACATTCCGAGAAGGTCGCTGAAGTGAAAGCGGAAGCTGAATACTTCAACAACTATTTGAAAGATCCAAAGAGGCCTCAGCTTCCCGAACATCCTGGTAACAAGACTCCACTGAGGGATGGACCGCGCGAGAATTTTACACCATATGGTTGCAGCTCGTAAGTGTACAAAAGTCATCTGCAACTAAAAATATTAAAAAGCAGATCATTTGTGTATACAATCATCATTGTAATATGTACATTATAAAGGAGGCATTACTTTATGTAAACGCACGCGTTTCTTAAAATTCTACCAAAAATCTGGAAGTATATATCGTTAAGATATTCAATATGAACATCCGTGTTTCCAGATTCGGAAATTACGGTGGTGGATACGGCGGTAGCAGGGGCAATTACGGTTCTGGCTACGGCGGCGGATTCGGTGGTGGATTCGGCGCACCGCGTTCCAATCGTGGCGGATTCAATCGAGGACGGTAAGCTACTTCTTTTGTTACGTTTCGATGCAAAGCATCAGTAAAATTTGCCCTGAATAAAATATCGTATGGTCTATAAATGAAAATTATAAAAAGAATTTACACGGCGTTGGCATAGGTCAGCTTTTTTGACACATTGTTAAATTCGTACTGAAATTAAAACAAGATTTAAGATACGTTCATAGGACAAGTAAATTCTCGGTCTAATCAGGTTAATAGAGTGAACGTAGTGATGCAATGTTTTACAGGGTCGCTCCGGATTCTGCGTCAAGATCTGTTATTAGTTATAATGACTTGGAACAGTCAGACATGGACATGTTTTAAATTTTGTCGAAACCTACACGAATATAATTTTTCACAGAACAGAACAATCATAAAAGCGCTAACATTTTATGCAAATTGTCTTTCTGCCAACATATGCATATATATGTATGATGTGTAATACATCATTAAGAAAAAGATAAAAACGTCAATTTAATAATCATTGCATTACAAAATCAGCACAATCTTTTACTCAAGTTGTTTACAATACGACCTAAATTTATTTAGACTATGCATTGAGATCCAATATTATATTCATAGAAACATACAACAAGAGAAACAAATAAAATCTGTATCTTTATGTATAATTTTTTTATTTTTTATTTTTTTTAAAGAATTTTAGAGTCGCGAATAGATCTCTTTCAATTTTCATACATAATGCTATCTAGAATGAGTTTGAAGATCCGCTGATGTTGTAAATTTGTGAATAACAAATAAACCTATTTGTATATTATTCTAATATATTTGTTATTTTATTTTATCCCATTTCCACTTGAATCCTATGTCCGGTTGATCGTATGTCATGCAAAATTGATATATGATCTAATCACATATGTGGCACGAAACATAATTATCATTCTTAATAATGCATTATAATAATATTTTTGCAAGCTTTGTTGAGAGTTAACAACTTAAACAATTAATCAAATTGCATATAAATTTGTTTTTTCATTTCAATATAGATGATATGTGGAAGATACATATAAAAGCAAAAATGTTACGTACATGTGCAAACAAAGTAACAAAAAATGTAAATAATATATAATTTAATACTATTATAAATATTAAAAATACTAATATATTGATATATCAATATTCCTTTAATTATTCTAATAATAATTTAATATTGCAGTGGCGGTGGTAGCGACTTTCGACCAGTCATACATTATCGAGACCTCGATGCACCCCGAGAACCAGACGAATTCCTGTAAGATGATCAAATAATCTCTACAAGAAGTACTGATCGAATACAAAGATATATGGGCACCGTTTAAAAGCACTTAGAATTTCAATATTTCTTTTGTAAACAACATTCACACCAGTGTACGTTTCGCGTGTACCTGTGTACATATTTACAATTGCTATAATTAATTCTTCATTCAAGAAAATTAAATGGATCGTTTAATTTTAAAACAGAAAATGTGTATGAATATTGAATGTTTTTAAAAAAAAGAAATATTGAAATATTGTTTCTTCACATAAAAAAAAGCTTTGAATAAAAAGAAAAAATCGAAATCCAATCTACAAGTAACATAATAAGAAACTTATATTATGTATTTTATATATAACTTTAATTTCACAGTGTTTCTGAATTAAAAAGAATATAGATACTCTTATGTAAGCAGTAAAATGTGCACTCTGATGGAACAAATTAACTTATTCCACATAATATGTTTTTTTTGTTTTATGTGAGCAGAAGCATAAAATTGATTTACATAAACTTAATATTTATCATTCATGACACGTATGAACGTGAAATGTAGAATTATATAATAATGACACAATAAAAGGTATCCTGAAAATTGGCCGTACTATTTTTTACGATTGTTAAAGAAATTGTAAAGAGGAAGAAGGATAAAAAGAGAAGGATGGGGCACTGTTTCAATATATATATAGTTATATTTTTATCTATATAACACACTATATACACATTACATATATTTATCTCTGTATAAAATACTGTATTTGATTTTTTCTGATTGGCAATATCTTGTTCCTTCACGTGCGAATACTAAGTGAACCGATCCTTACAGTGTCTCTCATCCGTGCCATCTCCGCAATCGTCAACCCCGTTACATTTCATTCCCTTTGTAATACATCTGCCGTTTCTGTATAACATAATTGTTACGTGTGCAAAACACAATATTATCCATATAATTATAAATTAAAATCTCACAAATTCTTTTCTATTCTTCCTTATGAAGAAATATCGTTACTTTTCGAGATATATCGAAAGAAAATCAAGACGCGATGCTGAATTAAAAAGTTATTTTTTTCCATGACAAAATCGAAATGTATTGTAAACAAAAGAATTTTCAATTAAAATGTTCAATATTTATCATATTATCACTATAGTTTATTTCAGTATGTGCTCAGAATAGAAAAGAATACAAGAGGCATTTAAAAGGTATGATTCAAAAGATAGAGGATTCAGAAAGCATATCATGTATATCTTTCTTTTCTTAATTATTTCTTATACAGAGAGATGTATGTTAATGACTTACTGGCATGTAAATTCGTGTTTATTGCATCGTCCTTGGCACCCGTGAGGCTCGTCCGATCCATCGCTACAGTCCGATAGTCCGTCGCAAAAACGAGCTTTTAATATGCATTCCCCATTACTGCAAGTAAATTCGTTGTCCAAGGGGCAAGCTAAAATGAAAATCACTGATAGACTTTAAGCAGGTATTTAAAATGATGCGCTTCTCCGAATATTCGATATAACTCGAGACGACAAGTTTCTAATCATGTGTGTGTGATTTTCTCTTAATGATACATTTATATTGTACTCTTACAAAATTACTCTTCCAAAAAATCTCGATTGCATTTGTCGAAAATTTGAAAAGTGATTATTAAGTTTGTGTGTATATGTACAAGCTAAAATGAAAATCACTGATAGACTTTAAGCAGGTATTTAAAATGATGCGCTTCTCCGAATATTCGATATAACTCGAGACGACAAGTTTCTAATCATGTGTGTGCGATTTTCTCTTAATGATACATTTATATTGTACTTACAAAATTACTCTTCCAAAAAATCTCGATTGCATTTGTCGAAAATTTGAAAAGTGATTATTAAGTTTGTGTGTATATGTATTTTTCTCTTACATTTATATAGGATGTCACACAAATTCGATCAGTCACTTTTCATCTATGCATTACATTGTATCCGGAGTATATTCGAGTCCAGATTTATATACATCATATAAAAACAAATCATTATAAATCATGCAACGTTCTTGTAATAACAATTGGGTTAAAGTCTCTGAATATGTCAAAACGTTTAACACATACTAAAAAAAAAAAAATGTGTTTAAGCATTGATGGAACTCGTATACATTATCGGCAGTTCGATAGAATGCGTAGGCATGCAGACCTTCGTGCAAAAAACTCGTGCGTTTTAAATATACAGGGATACAAATGTACTCACACCGACCGATATTACGACCTACGGAAAGAAAAAAAAGAAAAGATATGAGAAAAGAATCTTTATGGATCAAGCTAAAGCAAGACTACAAATATATATTTTTCGCCTAATTCTGCTTGAACTTTTGCACAAGATGTCCTACAAGTTTTTTTTTTTTCTTGTAACGTATTTTATGAAACATAAAATATTAGAGATATCATGGAAAATATGCTTACAGAGAACGCTCTTTGAACGAAAATCGTCAAGAAAAAAAATGACTTTTTTGCGGCATTTTGTTATTACTTTTTATCGTAATAGAATCTAAATAAATATGACCGAAGGAATGCTCGATAGTTGCAGACCACTATGTAAAAATTCAGCAGATCTTTTTTTGTTTTCTCGATTCAATTAATCAGTGCCATAGACATTCTACAAAAATCTCGATAGTCCTCCACCCTATTACAACATAATATTTTCGTTTCGTCAAACATTTCAACATCGTCGTTATCGCGAAAAGAAAAGAAAGAAAAACGCTCACCTAACGTGCAATTAATCTCGTCGGTTGCGTCCCAACAATCTATCTTTCCGTCGCATCTCCTTTCCAACGGAAGGCAGGAGGTCTCGTTACCGCACTGAAAATGCGTCTCCAGATTGCAGACTGAAAAAGAACGTGTAGTACCATCCGATAGTATCTCATTCTACTTGCTTCGTGTACTTTGCCTCTCGGTGTGCTCGGAACGCCTATATATTCAATATCGCAAGAGCGATGTTCTCGTTGTTAATTCGAGCGAGTAATTACGCGTGAATTGTTCGACCGGACATGTGTACTTACATGTGTTCTCATAAACACTATAATATGATTTGTTACAAACATGTAGAATTTATATCTCATTCGAAATCTTTCGTGGGAATAAAAATTTGACCGATAAGAAAAATTCAGTATAGCAACTTGAAAATAGACAATGATCGCGATATAAAATCATCTTGTCAAACTTTTTTTTATTTTAATCAGTAGTATAACGAAATGTAATATTGTACAAAGAAACAGTAATATCATCTTTTTGTAAAATTAATTTTGTATGTGCTTATGTTATATCTGCAAACGAATCAAGCCACGATAAGATCCTTCTCGGAAAGAATACTTTTGTTATAATTGATTATATAATTGACAGAGATTATGATTTATGTAAAATATTTTAACTTGACTACACTAAATTTGATAATTTGTACCATTTTCTAAGCTCTTCTATTTCGATTGAAATTGGATTATTATACATATTTTGCGATTATGCTTCGGCTTTAATGCGAAGTATGTATCAAAACAATATCAAAAAAACTAGTAAACCGAAGCCTCGCAAATAATGGCAAAGTAGAAAAGCCGATAACAGAAAGTTATAGGTCACATCAAACTGGGGCGATGCGGTATGTTTTAACGAGAGACAAAGTCGCACGCGGATAGCGGCTTATGACGCTCCACGATATTTCAAGATCGGGGCGAGTAAATAACAGTCTTACTTATCTGATTACGATTATTGTACAATTATATATTTAAAAAATGTATATTTAATTATTATTTACTAATTACATAAAGAATAATATGATCAGTAATGATCAAAACATTATCAAGAAATTCTTATGTCAAACTTTGGCTATCTCACGTCAATTGAAGAAAAATCTAATATTTGTTTCAGGACTTTTCATTTCTTTGCCAAAAAAAGGCTAAAATATTTTAATATTTTTAAAATAGCTGATAGTTAAAAAATCGGCAATATTTAAAAAAAATTCAAATCTCATTCATAATACTTTGAAATTTAGTTAAGTTTATTCTAAATCTCTAAAGAAAATAAATGCGATTTGGATCCTTTCACTTTTTATCTCATTTATACTTACCACAATCATACTCGTCCGAATGATCGTAACAGTTCATGTGCCCGTCGCAGCGCTTGTTCAATGGGATGCACAATGTGTTGGAACAAGTCCATTCATCGTCCAGGCAATAGTGCTCAATCTCCACACATCTTTAACAAATATTGAAAATAACAAACAACAAATTAATTATAAATTTTTAAAATTCTCATACCTGTACAAAAATAATCGCACAGATAATATTAATTTCAAAGATAAACATCGACGCGAACCTGAAGGCGTCTATATCGAGACGATGGCACTTCTGCTTATTGATGATACAAAAACCGGCGCATCCGGTGGGATCTTCCCGATCGTAGGGGCTTCTACATATTGGCACCTCCTCGTCGACAAGGGCGACGCATACCTCCTCACCTTCAAGGCAATCGTCGCAATATCTCGTCGCATTAGCGTTCCGACTCGCGGCTTCCGTTTCCACTCCCGTCGACGGTGAAACGCTCTCCGGAAATGACGACGCGTCGCCGTTTAAAAAGGCGGCCATGGTAAACGCGTCGACACTCATCGTCATCGTCGTCCTGGTCGTTGAGATCAGATCAGGCCCGTCGTTCGGAATCACGGATGTGATCGGTTCGCCGGATGTAACGTTCTGCTCCGTCAACTTGCCCGTCGACGATTTCAGGTACTGCTGAATGATCTGGAGTTTTTCTGGCTCTGCAAAAGAGTAACAGGCAGCGGATCAATCATCACGATTGAAAGAACTCGTTATTTCGCTGTGAAAACGGAAGTTTAAGATAGACTAAATATACAACGCTTTTACGAGGCTCAACAGACACATCTGTTCTTAACTACCGACTATTCAGAAATAAGAAATCGATAAAATATGAGAAAAGGATTTGTGTGTGAAAGCCCTTTGATTAAACAATTTTCTTTTCTGTTATTAGAAAAATAATAGTTTTTTTAATTAAATTTTCGTTGAAGAAAAAGTTTTCAAATATAATATTGTCAGATTATGCAAAAGGCTCTTAATCACGCTTTATATTATTACTTTAATAAGCAGAGTCAGTATATACTTTCTCATTAGAAAGATAATTTATATAAGCAATATAGAAGCAAATCTCATGTTTTCTAACGCTTTCTTCATTTTTTAATTTTTTCGTTCTATTTTCCTTACTGGAAACCAAAAACGATCAATTATTACGCGAAAGAAGTGAATAGAGAAATTCTTGTGCTTTGTCTCAAAATCAATGTAAATAGAGTTTTTTAATCTTTTTTTTTTTTTTTTGTTTAAATTTTGGAGAATAAAAAGTGTTAATTTCGCTTTTATGCCCCCAATTTCGTGTATTCAAAGAGTGAAGAAACGAATCGAAGACGTGTCGTATTTTGCGAATCCACAGGATTTCATAGACGTAGTGTTGCACGGTCATTGGCTTTTGTCGCTTTTCATCGCGCATCGCGACGCGCGACCGCGCTTCAACTCGATCGACCGCGCACGCGGACGAAGGAAACGTTCTGTTGACCCCGCGGTTAAATTCATCTCATCGTTGGACGAGCAATTGCTACGCTTCGTCGAATTAAACCTCGGCCTCGGCTGGATGCAGATACTTTTAATTGTCCGAAACGATAAGGCGACGGCACCGGCGAGTACATAGCATCGTTTATTCCTGACCAATATAGGGCGTTCTAGCACGCAATCCCTGATAGGGCAAGATGAAGAATTTATGAAAGTTGTAAATCCTATCGAGAGTAACGACTGCATAAGACTGCCATTCGTGATACTATAATGCAAGAAAGAGAAAAACGCTGACAAAATAATTTGCGTTCAAAAAAATTGCGAGAGAAGTTGGAAAATTGCGAGGAAATAATGATTTCAAATCAAACTTTTACTATAAAAAAGTCAGTTTTTATCTCCATAAAAGTTTACGATGGAAATATCGCAAATCCGAAATAATTTAGCAACACGGAAGACGAATCAATTTGCAGTCAGCATGAAATGAGTTTCCATAATAAATCAATTTGATAAACGTTTTGATCAATCGATTAACCTCCGCAGGCTGAATAATATTTCATTCTGACAAACAAAATGCGTATCTAGTAGCCGGTGAACTCATTTCTCACTTCGTCAAATATTCATCGAGCTGCTGTCGCTGTTATTTCAAGCGCAATAAAGTAGAGAATAATTTCAATATACATATATGAAATAATTCAATATATTTTCTACTTTTTTCTCTATTTTTAAATGAATTAATAGAAGAGCAAAAGATAAAAAGAAATAAGCATCTTGTCGTGAGAAAATATTACTAAAAGTCTCTTCATATTCTCATTTTCAATAATTCTTCATCTGAATTAATTTTTATTTAATAAATAAATATAATCGAAAGAATATCATACATAATTTATAGTTCAGAAATTAATGTAATAGCAGACGCATTTTTTTATATTCAATAGTTCAGATTGTATAAAAGCAATATCTTTTTCTAGAAAAATTCGCAAGAATTCTTAAAGAGTTTATAGTTACAATACTGAAAAAAGAATCAAGGGCATCAAGAGTGAAACAGCGTACATAAATAAGGGTTCACCCACCGAAAACGATGTACATTGCGACCCCTGCGACTCCTAGCAAGATCAGCAGGACGATCAGCAGGGGTACGAGTGCGCTGGAGCATCCGGATGCCTTCAGGGGACGAGCCAGGTGTAGCGTCCAGCCACGGCGATGTTTGTCGAGACGCGCCGGATGCGGTGGCGGATCGTTTCTGACGCTTCGACGTAGATTAACGCGATTCTGCGAGGTTGGTGTGTGCGTCCGCGCTGGCAGGGAATAGGCCCTCTAAAAAAAGAAAAAAAGAAACGTAACGAAAACGACCGACGCTAAAACGCAAATGCGAATTTATGAGCGAAACGTAAGTCTTAGAAATGATCTCGTAAAAAAGGTGAGAAAAAAATAAAAGCAAAAAATAAAAGAAAATATATATTATATATATATATATATATTATAAATAAAAAAGAAAAAGAAAGATGCAGAACTTCGCAATAAAAATAATAATATATTGCTAGATTACATCAGAGAAAAATTACTCCCACAACATCCCTTTCGCCTCTTCAATTTTTCATATTCGCTAAAACGTAAAACATCAAATGATCCAAAAATAATAGCTGATTAATAACTGACTATATTATACGGTTTTGAGAAATGTCAACTTTACTATATGCGCTTTCGTAATTTTTGCTGTCTGCCTCTCTCGACGTTGCGCGACTCGCTAACGACGAGGTTTACGCCGGGCTATAGATAGACGTTTTCCACTTCCGTTCCGTTTTGTTTCTTTATGTCGGTGTCGCGCCAGACGGCGGCTGTTTCTTCTTCTTCTTCTCTCGCGGAGACTCCCGTCAGCTCCGATGAGGGTTGGCGAAGTCGCGAACGATCGGTGAATCGCCGACATACAAACTTGAGGTAATCAAAACGCGCATCCCTGATATAATTTCTCTCACCGTAGATTCGTGTATTTTATTTATCGCCCGCTTTAATCACCCGCTCATATTGGCCTATATTTAATTCCCTTCCGTTGACTATAATTTTCGGTACGACACAAATATCCCATGAATATATATTTCTCTGGACAGTCATTAATCTGCCAGATATGCCGCGACAACCACGTCTTTCATATCCCTGATTATAGGAGGTTGCATTTTATTTTATTTTTTGTTATAAAAAATATTTTATTTAAAAAATCTTTTTTTGTTCATAGTTATAAGTAAATTAAATAATACGAGAATTCTGTCTTATTAAAATATGATATGATGATAAATATATGATATACTAAAAAATAGATAGAATATGCATTAAATTATAAAATGTTTTTGTAATTTTACTTTAATTTGTATATATTGCAAAAATTTTAACTTTTATACTTTATTTATAATAATGATGAGATAATTCAACACTGCTCGGCCACGTTTTCTCAGCTTCGTTAAAGCGTTCGGACGGAAGTCTCGAGAAAACTATCTAGAAAGCATAACACAAACTAAAAGACGCTCAAAATAAAGTCACACCTGCGAATTTATTCTTAGAGAGTGGCCTTTGAGTAATCCTGGTATCATATTTATTTTTTAGATAAAAGGAAAGAGAGCTGGCTTGATCTTCTTCAAACGCGATAGTATATTTAAAAAGTTCTAATTGTAAGAGATATATATTCACTAAAAATACAAAGGCAAAAATTAAACTTCGATTATATATTTTACAGACAAATAAAAAAATATTGTAATTTTAAATGCAAGACAAAATACGCAAGATTCGTGCGATTAAATTAGTGCAATTTATATAGAACTCAATATATTAATATTTATACAATTAAAAATATTTCTACATGAAAAAAATATTACCATATAAAAAATCCTATCGTTAATCATTATCAATATCTGATAAGGTGTGTCGTGTTTTTTAATAATTCTATTCACAAACATAATTATTCTCGCGTACAATTATATAAAGAAAATAAAAACAGAATAAAAGGATCAAATAGATTAATTACCACGTAATTCGACGATAAAACAAGCTTTACCTTCATTTAGGGCTGTTCAACTCTCTCAATCGTCGTTGATTAAAAACAATCACATTTAATGACACGCGATGAAGAGCGATTTAACGATACCCCGATACACTCTACGGAATGTCAAAGATGCCAATCGACCCGCTTCTGTCACGAAGCTCTAAAAGCCGGAGAGAAATCGTTCTTTCTCTCTCTCTTTCTCTCTTTTTTTCGCTCGCTCATGCGTACATTTGGCACGTGCGGCGTGCACGTGTGCAGCGGTGACATAACCAGTCGTCGTTGCCTCTCGTTTATCGTGCTTTGTGCGTACACGTCTCCAAACGCTAATTCCTTACCGTACAATGGATAGACTCATAAAAAAGCGATGATAAAACTAAAACTGAAGGGTCCAAAGCGCGAGCACAATCTAATCCATTTTTTAGAAACTTTAAAAGAAATATTTCTGGATAATATAACTTACACTTGCTATATTAAACAAAATTTATAAAACATCTTCAAGGTCAATCACAATATGTTGATAAGAAATTTTTATTAAAAATATCTCTTGTCGGGAAAATCATTCTAAGAATATCCGTTTTTTTCTGCATATTTACACAGTGATGTTTCCTCCCCTTAAAGTATTAATAAATTAATGTTTATTTTTTAATAGAGATCTCATATATATTACTCTATACTTTGTCATATTATCATATATTTTTACATATAAATAATGTTTATATAATTTTCTTCTGTACAGATGCGTGCCCACAATTAGTTAATATATACGGTATTATACGCGATTATATTGATTCTTACGAAAAATAAAATACGAAAAACTTTTGTGCAGTGTTCGTGACATTCGTTATCGTTCATAGTATTTTTATAATAACGCTGTCAAGAAAATGTTATGTTTACATTGATCTCATCCGGGACAGCGCGAACGCAGTCCCAACTACCAAAAATTATACGCCCGAGATATCCACTTTAGGGATATTCGCAAGGGTCAGCCGAACCGTAGTGCAATGGAAAAGCCTCACCCTGGAGGAACCGCCTTTTTGATCACGGTAGCCTCTGCGCCAGGTAAGTATGCCTTCCGTGCCGTGCAACCTCCTAATAGTTGCTGTTCGACGAATTTCTAATACGAGAAACTTGTATCTGAATGCGCCGCATAGCGGGAACTTTGTTCAATTAAGTCTTCTGGCACCGAGGCACCGAGTCGTTTAATCGAAACTAGTCGGCCAGTGATTCTCCTTCACCTAGCAATAATTCTAAATGTATTTTTCGGATCGTTTTATATTGCGTTATAATTCGTTTAAATAATCAGCGTAGAATAAAGCGCTTTTCTTCAATCATATATTTTACATACGGCGTTGTCTTTAAATTTTAGAAATAAATTCATTAAGATTCAAAAAATCTTCATATTTTTATTTTCTCGCGAATTAGAATATAATATTTTTTCTATCAAATATTTTAATTCGCGTGTCGTGAAATAAAATATGCAAAAAACATATGTTTATGTAAGAATATCATACCGCATTTATAAACTAAAAAAAAAAAAAAAACAGGAAATAGAAGACATTTTCGCAAGCAATTCACCTGAAAAGGATTCTGATCTTTGACATCGGTGTAGAATATCGGTGACTCCTTGCCGTACCAGCGTTCCTGCGAGTAGATGGAATTAATTCTCATATCAGTCCAATTCTTTGATTCTCCCAGTATCTTATTCTGATTATTCTCCGTCACCTGGCCCAACATCCTGTCGTTCACCAAGAACCTAGACGCGGAGTGCAATTCACTATCAAGAAATGCAATCGGGGGACTCTTGGTGCCGATATCCTCGAGACTCGTTCTTTTCACGATCGGGTAGATCTTCATGTTTTGCGATCTCAGCAGTGAATCGGAAACCCGTGAATCCCGAAACAGAAGGCTAGACGTAAAATCCGGATCCTTGTTTCGATGATTAATCTCGTTCTCTCTTAAGATCGTGTCCTCGCTACCGGCCAACTCGTTCAGCTTCTCGCAGGAGCTCGCGACAGCCAATTTGCTTCTGCAATGTTTGCAATCCTTCTTCCTGCGTCTGCGGTTCGTTCGCCGATCAGGCTGCACTGGCACATCTCGCGATGAATCCTTCTCCCGTGGTGACGAGGACACGCTTTCGAGGATGTTTTCATCAGGAAGGGATCGTGGAAGCTCGCGAGGATTCCTGGAGGCTCCCTTGAGGTCATTTTCGTTCGTTCCGGACACCGCTCGCGACGAGGAGGTCCCGCTGTCGTGATTGGCACTGATCTCAGCCGAGGAGGCTAAAGTCAAATTCTGTTGAACGGATCTGTCGAGAATCGCGGTAGCCGCTATCGACGGTGATTCATTGACCCAGGCTTGCCTGGCGTGATCGGCCGATTGGCGATTCTCGGTCTCGCGAATCTCGTCCACAAACGATATCCGCTCGGAAAATTTGGAAGCGGCCACCGTATCGGTGGAGATGTCCTCGTACATGTGATTCTCGGCATGCAATGTCCTTGCAACGAGAGGATCACTTCGATCGATCGTATCATGAGGCTGCCGATCGCAATAATGAGACTCGAATGTGGATTGCTCTTCTGCGCGCGATTCCCCCTCGTAACCTTGGTTCTCCATCTGAAGCTAAAGAAAAGAAGTGCAAAATTAGAAGTTTTTAATTTTTAATTGCTGTGGCATTTAATTAAACTTTGCGCGACAATCGATTTATTAATGATTCTGCAAAGAATTACTTTTAAAATTAGATCATATCTGATATTGGAAGCTATGATAATATATATATATAATGTATACTATACTAACAATAAGAGAGGCATCGTATTATCAATACATCGATAAAAAGAAAAAGTTAAAAAGATTGAAGTAAAATTTAACACAATATTTTCGTTATAGCAAGTGGATGCATAAACTAAATTGGTTTCTATCCTGCTTGCAAAAATAAGATACGTTTAACAATAATTTACATTTCATTAATGTTTTTTTCTTAGAAACATATACGTATGAAAAGCGAACTATAATTGTTTCTGCAAAAATATCTGCACGTGTATTACTCGAACAATTTTAAGCTATCACATGCGTAAGAGAGGGAGAGGAAAAGAGGGAACGAGGAGAAAATAGAAGGGAACAAAGCTGTATACACATATAGGGGAAGATGAATCGAGCGTATCTCGTTGGGGGAAGCATCCACACGATTATCGCAATTATCGCGACTTGACTCTCCGATTGATCCCTGTCGGACTCATGACGTCATTGGCGAGCGCGCCCGTGGGATCATTTGTTTATTTTTAATTCGTCTGTGTGATGCTTACAACTGTGATATGCTTAGATTTCCGCAATCTTACACGTGCCACAGATGCTTCCCCGTTTCATCAGAGAGAATAAACCAAAAGTCATCCCCCTCGCTGTCTATCTCTGTCCAATAAATATTATAATTAATTATTATCTTATTATAATATACAATATTGATATTTTTATGATATATATTATAACTGCATCAAACATAAAGCATTTATTCTTCTAAATCTGTAGTTTAATTAAAGAAATCAACGTTTAATTTTGCCTAACCGAGGTTATCAAATTTTTTATCAAGTATATATAAAAAAGAGCTTATAAACATATATGCATACATATACATATATGATATATCATTCATTTTCGTCAACATTAATCCTTTATATTAGAGATGTGGAAGTCATTATTTTGCAGCAGTTTTAATTAATCACGTGCCTATATGTTCGTTAAATCTCCATTTTCGATCACCATTAATACACGTTCGCGTTTCGATGACGACGAGCAGCCGTTCGCGAAGGATGCGTTTGCGAGGTCGATACGACACAAAGAGTCTATTCACTAATAAATACAATTAGCGCGTCGCCGCTCGCAGTATCGAGATTATTTCGAGTTGCGTCAGCGCGACGAGTCTCTCGTCGCCGCACAGATTCCCGTTAGATTAATAATCCCGTCGACGATCGTGTATTAGAAATCAATTTGATTATTAATTCCGCGCTGATTCACAGCCGCATTCATGACGCATTCCGAAACGAAGTCACGGAATCGAGATTTTTATCATGCGCATTCCGCAACACACGTACCGCCATCGTCATCGTCATGCGCGATGAAAATTTTAATAAGCGAAGGATATACCGTGGCATACATTATTCACGATCGTTGCGAATCGGCGGTTTACATATCCCGTGAGAACGCGCGCTTGATTTCTTTCAGTGTGCGTGAAAAACGAACAGGATATCCCCGACCGGATTCTACGACTTTCCTCTAACAACGGAATGTTGCGAATGAATGAATAGAACTTGGTTTGCGAAAGAATATCGAGGAGTCTGATAGATTTCGCTTAAATGGTATACAACTATTTATTGACATTAATCCTTAATTGGCACACGATATAATATTTTGAGTTGTTTGATAGATTTATTGAACGTGCTAATGTACTATCGAAAATGCATTTCAAGATTTTTTTTTTAATTTTCAAAAACTTTTGGTCAATAATGCAATTTAGGACTCAATATGATTAAATGTAGATAACATTTTGCATTCCTCTTCTTCTCTCCCGTTTTTTAAACTTTTGTTTTCTTTGTTATAAAAAGAAATTAAATTTCTAATACAATTTATATTCTTGACATTCAAATATTATTCTACTAAAGATCCAATGCAAAAATCATATTCAATAATTAACGATAGTTATTTTCTTGGATTCTATTCAAAATGTCTCTCTTCGCTATTTAATTTAATATATTTTATATATGTATCACGCATGACAAATTATCTATGTATTTTACGTAGCTGTAAATTAACGTGAGATAAATGCCGTAGACCGCGCACAAACTCGCCTATTGGGTAGACAAAGCATGTGAATTAATTTTAAAGTCTACATGAGCAAGCTTGGTTACATATCGCATATTTCGACCAGTCACATCAAAGCACATTCCTCAGCGCGCCAACATGATACAATGGCTATTTTTAACATTTCTCAACTCTTTCTCATTGAAAAATATTACCTTAAATATATACCTCCTCTTTTTCACATTTTTCTTTTAATTATCTATATGATTCAATATTAATAGTACAAATCAAAAACAATCATTTTATATTATCAAAAACACTTTTTTTCTTATAAATAATTTTCGATCGATATAATAGTATTGAAAAGTCATAATACAAAATTAAAAACGTTTTTATTTCAGTCTTAAATAAATTTAATTATAGCGTATATAATTATCAATCATACAAATCTCGTCGCATGTTTGATTTAAAAAAAAAAATACAATTATTAGATTTCGTACTAATAAATACGCAAATAGATATACAAATGCAAGTCTATAAAGTTTATACACTGAGAAAAAAAAGTTGTTAACTTGACTAAATGCGTTCAACTAATTATTATTTCTTTAATTGAAATATTTAAGTATTTAAATTAAATATGACATATTAAATCTAACATGACGTATTTGACTTAAGTACTTAAATATTTCAATTTAAAAAATGATAATCAGTTGAACGCATTTAGTCAAGTTAACAACTTTTTTTTCTCAGTGTAAAAATAAATATATTGCATTTATTGCCATATAATACAGATGTTTCTACTGCGAGCTTTGAAAAATGGCAAAATACACTAGACACGTGACACGCGTTTGTCTTATTGCATTTATAGAATTGCTGCGAGCCGCACGATGCGATCCTCTCGCAATTTTACTCAAGTGTACACAAGGAAAAGACCGAAGGACGAGGCTCCTCCTTTTCCACCTGCGTTTCCTGCGATAGACATTCAATGAGCTATCATTAAAGTCATTACGTGCGATTGCAGCTTGCCAGGTATACTTTTCGTTTCTCCCCGCCTCTGCCCAACTTACAAATCTTTCTTTTTTTTCACGCAGGAAGGCATCGTACGCACATTGTATGTATAAGTCATATTATTATGGTCACGACTGGTAGTCATTATGTTAAATTAATATTTAACTACAATCGCGAAGAAAATACTTTTTTAAAATTTCTTTAATTTTTATGCCTATCTTCCCCTCTTAAACATTTCCAAAAATTTATTTTCGACGAATTTGAATTGAGAAAGACTATTACTTGTCACGAATTATTTTATATGTTAATACACACATAATCAAAGCTATAATTAAAATTCTATTAAATTTAAAAAAATTTATATTTAATTCGATGAAAACCAAGTTGAATTTAAGTTATTATATAGCAGTCTATATCAATGAAACGACGCGACAATTCTCGAGCAGTCTATATCAATGGTAAGGAATATATTCCACTTTCACTGTATCGCAACATATGTTTACGACGTGATGATGTTACTTAAGTCATATCGTGCGTCAACAAACGGGTAATTACGGAATATAAAGAATAATTTTAAGGGCGATTCGCTCGCTCGAGAGGCATTCGAATAAACACTGCGCGAATTTACGCATTCCATTGTCATTCGCAATGCACGCGAAGAACGAACCGGAAGCAGGGTCACTCTTCTTTTCAGTCTCTTTTTTTTTGTCCGATTGTGACTCCGGAAAGTTACCGGAATAACTATGAAAAACGCGAGTACCGATAATTAAGAGTTGTAATTATTTTTCGTGCTTGTTCGCAGAACAAAAAATATAAGGCCTTTTTCCTTTAAAGTTCGAAGTCTTCGAAAACAGGAGAAGAGGAAAAAAAAATAAAAATTCTGCTTGCAAGAATCAATCAATTCGATCATATAATATCTTTGAAACGAAAATACTATATCGCTCTTTTCAGTATCTGGTATAATGTCAGATGTGCACATTTGAAGAAAGCTTGAAACTGTTGTTCAACAATGAGACAAGATGTGCATTGATAATAAAAGCTAAAAAGAGCGTTGCGTATTCGAGTAGATCGATTTATAAAAACCCATTTTGAAGTAATATATAGAAGATGTATGTTATAATTTACAGACAATATTATCGATAATATTATCAATAAAGGGATAGCAGAATGTTAAGGCGGCGGTATCATGGAAGGCTGTAGGCGCCGATCGGTCGCTTGGACGACTAATGGTTAATTACCTCTCATATACGCTTATAAGGATGCCATCTCTTTTTACGTCAAGTGGTGTCCAATTTATCGCGCGGAACGAGTTAAACGACCGGTGAAGAAATACTTGCGCCCGATGAAGAAGCCCGTCTTCCCGAAGTCGACCGTTTTTTTCTCGGATCAACGATCACAGATGATCGTTCGTGGTGTCGGTTTCCATTTCCGTAGATGGTTCGATCTCGCGAAGACGGGTACCAAAAATTAACAACTGATTTTTGCGAGAATAATACTTGCTTTACATATGTATATTTCTAATATTTAAATATTGAAATACTTGTGTCATGAAGTACTCAAAATTTTTATATAGAGAATATAAAATACTTGGACAAACCTTGTAGAACAATTTGCAGTTAATTTTCTCTTGAAAGCGTAAAGTATCATAAAAATTATTTAAAATAATTTGTTGAAAGATTACTTTCTCTTTCTTTCTCTCTCTCTCTTACAAACAATTAGAACAAGAAGTCCGTGTGTAATGTATATAGGTATATTTTTGTCTGAAAATTTTAAATTACTAATTAAAATTATTAATTTTAAAAGATTTTCGATATGTAATC